TGCAGCAGATATCGGGGCCTGCGATGCTCCGCGGGGCGTATTTCAAAGGGGGTTGAGGTCATATTTCACTGTTTCAGGGCTTAGCTGCTGTCATGTATTAATTAAAATCCAAATACCCTGTATTGATTGTGTTATCAGGCTAGTGCAGCCTAGGCCGGCCGTATTGATCCGGCCTGTGATTTATGATCATTTTCAGCAAAAATCCTTTTGTGTGATTATATGAGGAAACAGAGCCGGAGTGAGTGTAATTCTTTTAGATCTATTCTGGAGCACAGGGCTAAACAGACTGCCACCCAGAAGCCTCTCAGAGGAGAGAAATGTTATGATCCAGTTGGTTTCATTGAAGAGTAAATCAGATGAGGAGGTCAGCGCCACAGACCCATGAGTTACTAACAGAGGCTGCGGCCTGTGGTTTTCAACTTGTGTCTTCTCTCTAATCTACCTCAAATAAGCTTTGACTCAATTCCCAAAATACACTTGTACTGAAGACTTTTAGAATAACTATTTAAATACTGTTTATTTGATTTCATATGTAAAGATGAGTCAGCTCTGAGACCAAGAGTTTCATTACTGGTAGAGATGTTTGCGTCATTATCAAGTATATGATAATAAATTAGAAACTTAAAGGGCCAGATCACCCAAATCTGAAAAACTAAAGTTATCATCATTGGTATCAACTTGTTCATGTAGTAGGTAGGTATGCTGCTGTCAGTATACCTGTTTATTATTGTAACCATGATAACCACGGTTTGCATGCCGCTGTAGGGATGCTAATTCAGGAGACCCTCCTATGAGTCGTATCAGAGGGTTGATGGTTGTTCAGATTGGAGGAGTTGTTGGGAATAAAACATTTCTTTCTTTCTGCAGTATTTGTGATTGTGGTGAAGGAGAGGACTCTTTTTTTTTTTTTATTGCTCCACGCTGGCAACAGTCGGAGCAGGAGCCATATTGTTTTCAGGTTGTCCATACGTCCCCCCCCATTCTCGTGGACACAATATCTCAGTTACTTCTTGACAGAACTTCTTCAACATTTGCCACAAACATTCACTTGGACTCAAGGACAAACTGATTAGACTTTGGGTTTCAAAGGTCGAAGGTCAAGGTCACAGCGACCTCACACAACATGGTTTTGGCGTTGTGAATGTGATATCTCAGTAACGCCTTGAGGGAATTTCTTCAAATTTGGCAAAAACATTCACCTGGACTCAAAGACAAACTCATTAGGTTTTGGTGATCAAAGGTCAAAAAACAGGGATGTAGCCTGAAACTAGTCTGAGTGGCAGAGGCATAAAAACACAAGGGGGTGATTTCTAGTTAAAAAGGTGACAGTAAAAAGCTATTATTTTTGATGGACCGTGTGATGGTCACAGTGGAGCCAAATCACAAAACATTAATATTTTGGCAGACATGTTTTTCATCATGTATCAATGTATTTCATTAAACAGAAATATTCTTAATGTTTTGTTGATCATTTATACACATTAACCCAAAATTCAGTTTGTATCTTTTCAGACTTCTCCACTAGAATTTAAACTGACTTCTCTCAAGTTTTTCCTCTCACGCAGTAAATACTTTAGGTCGTCTCACAGTCTTTTCTTGCCTGACATATCTCTGCGGAGCTGTGCATTTTTTCTCGTGGCTGATCGCTGTCTGTCTGAACGGCGGGTCAGGGGCCATTAGCTTGTCATATCTCCATCTGAGGCCTCGCGCTCTGTACGGCGGTGCTCACATTCCTCAGCTGGCAGCGGCTGACAGGACGCTGCTGGATCTGCTGCTCCTTTCAGCTGCCAGTAAATCACTGACTCTACTGTAATCTTCATATGGATGGAAAGTGGTCTCAGGGAAGCTTCTTAATTCTGCAGACTCAATTTTCAGCTTTATGTGGACAGTACTTCATCCTCCATCGCTCAGAAGTGACTCACTTACAAGATTGTACTTGTAGAAAGTGGAACCTGAACTTTACAAAATAAGGATTCAACTGTGACTGAGTTTGACCACTGACTCACATGATGTGGCTTTGAATGAAACTGATTTATTCATATTTGAATATTCATATTAATTTCCATCACTTAAGAAAGTTTGTACAGTTCCCATTTATTTTTCAGCTTTTGCAGCAGACAAAATACAGTGAACACGTGGATAGGAACTAATGCAGGCCAGCAACAGTCTACTGTCATTTTGTGAAGCTTTAAGTTTTCATTTTTTGAAAGTCTGTCAGAGGTGTTGATTGAACATTTGTCCAAGAGGTATAGAAAACTGGTTGTTTGCATTGTTCTGTCCTTTGTCTGGACAAAAAAGAAACATCTTGTCCTGTATATTCAGGCCTGCAGCTGCCGGTGAGATGTGGCTGATTTAAAAACCTGTTATCATGTGTTAATTTGAAAATGTTTTAATTCAACTAAAGTGGAAATAGTTTCCTAGTAAAACTTTTTTTTTAATTTCCTTTTTCATCTTCTTTTCTCAATCTCTCAAATAGCTCTCAATAAGTCAAAAATATTAACAATTAACAAAAACTGTCCCACTCTGTAGTGTATGCCACCATATTATGATATGTTATGTAATGATATGTTATGTAATGATATGTTATGTTATGTTATGTTATGTTATGTCACCCTCCTTGTCTTTGTCTTGCTTCACCAAATAAAAAAGTTCTTTGTCAGGATAATGTTCACTGACTACATGAACTTATACTTTAAAATGTAGGCCTCTTGCTCCATTACTTCAAAGTAAATTCTCACACAATTAATTAATAAAACAAAATCCACATTATATGACATAAGTCAATGTATACTTTCTTTACATCTGTGCTCACATTTTATTACATATCTATAAAAAATAAGACATTTATTCAATTAAAAATCACTTCTTATCCATAAAAGCCTTATTCAAGATTTATGAATTCAGCATTTTTAAAATTCTGTCTCAAAATTAACAGTAGATTGAGATTAAATGTCTCTGGAACAATGTAGGTAAATAGTATAAATATAGAATAGTTCAAGCTTTTTATTATTTGTGTATCTGTGTACTTATACTGCACATAACACTTGTGTGTCTTTTATTCTGAAAGGGCTCTGTTCAGTGTCTATATTTGGTGTAATTTCATTTTTTCCCATACTTCCTTCAGCACTTTGACAAACTGAACAGTTTTAGAATAATTGATTATTGGATATGATTTATTGATCTTTAATTGGTCTCGTTCATCATATAAACAATACACACTGATTTATGTGTTCCTCTAACAGATGCACACTATAATGAAATTCAAGTGGTGCTCACGGCCGTGAGTGGAGTCTGTGTTGGTGGAGACCAAGTTAGAATCTGGAAGAGATCATGGTCAAGTAGTTGGTAGTCTGATTTTGCTGGTTACAAAGAATCAATATCGAATCAAGGAGGGTTGAGTTTCCAGATAAGCACTCTCAGCCACTCTGGCTATTCATCATAAGTCTGTGGAAACCTGATAGGTCAGAAGAAATTATATTCCGGCAGGAGTGGGGTCTCCTTATCTCTCCATAGCAGGGGAATGGGAGACATACCGATCAATACCAGGCTGTTGTGTAGTACTTGCAATTATCAACAGCTGATTCTGTCCTCCCCCAGCTGCATCTTTTAATACCACATAATTACAAGTTTTGGAACAATGCCTGAAGAGGGATTACAGCTCTGGTGAAGTATGCTTCATTCTTCCCTGAGCTTTGAAATAGCTACAGTCTGTGGAAGTGAACAGATTTTATTATTCACTTTGCTATTCGGCTTCGTTTACCTTTTAGATTTTTTTTATGCAGTTAAAAAATGACCAGTATTTGGTGATTGTGTCTCAACCAACCATCAAAACTTGGGGTAAAAACTACAAAAATGGAGGTCTAGTGAGCCTAAATACAAATCTCTATCCTCTTTAAACTTTGCTTCTTTAAATCTAAAGAGAGTTCAGGTGGTTTATTCTCCTCACATCCCTGATCATCTCTCCAAAGGAAGATTTCTTTTCCAGAACAGAGACATTTTTCACTCTTTTATGGCGCCAAATTGTGGGAGGTCGTTAACAAATGAAGCTCGGGCTCCAACACCTCCTGTGGTATCCTGGCAGTAGCCTATCGCAGCCGGCTGAAGGGCATCTAATGATGGACCGGAGGCGGAGGCAACGAGGAGAGTGCTGGAGCCTCGGAGAAAACCAGGGAGTCTCACTTCCGAGATCGGACCTATCCGCGACCTGAGCGAGCTTCTTTTTTTTACGCACAAAGTTTGACTTCACGCGCAAATTCAGTCTGAATTGTGAGGGGTTTTCTTCTTTTGCGTAAAAATTACCGTCGATTCTGGACTTTACGCAGTTTTACTCAACAGACAACCTCTCCTCCTGTGGAAGGATAAGTGCTCCTGCTCTGCTGCCGTGTGTGTGTGTGTGTGTGTGTGTGTGTGTGTCTGTGTGTGTGTGTGTGTGTGTGTGTGTGCGTGCGTGCGTGCGGAGAGGGATTGAACAGGGACATCCATCTATCCACAGCCTGAGGAGTCAGATCAGACCGGAGCGTCTCTTTGGACACGAACTCATCCTAGATCTCAAAACGGAAACAAGTCAGATTTCAGACTCAACGGACTAAAACCGAGATGCAGCATTAAAGTTAATCCGACTGCTCCAAAGCGCACGAGACACTCACAGGAGTTCAGGTCGGACTGAACCATGTCGGAGCCGCTGCTGGGAGCTGCTGTGCGTAAAAGCAGCCGCTCACCGGACAGGAAGTGAACTAATTATTATTAAACCCCATCCCTCATTTCCATATCTAGCGTGAGTTGGCTGGAGCGCAGCCAATCACCCCGCGAAGGGCAGCGAGAGTCGTAAAAGCATTATCCTTCCTCCATCATAATTACACTGACATGCGCAATCTGCACACGGGCATCAACAGCAGCCTCCGTTCGCCTATTTCACCGACCCCGCTCCCCGGGAAGGGTCCCAGTCCCCGCTGGTAGATGGTTCGGGGGAAGGCGGCAGCGAGTCGCACAGAAGGATCAACATGTCCCGCCGCAAGCAAGCCAAGCCGCAGCACCTCATGTCCGACGAGGGAGCCGCACACACCGGACTACTCTGCAGTGAAGGTAGGTGTCCCGGAGGTTTTCTACGACTTTTACCGGATCACTAGCAACAACAAGAACAACTATCATCTGAGGGCAGCTTCATTTAAAGGAGTTTAGTGCAGGAACATGACGAAAAGTGACGCTGATGATGGTTTGAGGTCCGAAAATGTCAAACAAAGGTGGATAAACTCTGAAACAGAAGATTAACACATTTTCCTGTTTCCTAATGATTCTTTTTTTTTTTTTTTTTTACATTTTAACATCGTTTATTTATTAAAAACCTCAACAAGTCTGAAGCCAAATGAAACTTGTCATTAAAAGCACGGAAAGAGTTTGATCAGGACACAAAATGGGAATTAATCAGTTCATATTTTATTACTTTGTTATCAAAATTCAAATTTAATAAACCGAGACTGTATTAGAATATAAATGGACCAAATCAAAACTAAATCATATTTTAGTTTCATGTGTGTTTAACAGCTTTTGGGGCGATGGGTAGGGACGGGGCCTGCTGTGGATCACTGCCGACAAACTCCATCAGAATACAGAAGAAACTCATGGAAGTCGCCACTTGATGTTAAATTTAATGTTGAGGATTTATTTCTTCAGATTATGTTTGAGGCTCTTGTGTGTTTTGGCTGGAGGTCGCCATGACAACTATTTAAATTGAATTTTAATGAGAAACACTGATCATAAAGCAGGAGTAAATAATGTGAAATGAAAATGTGGCCTTAACAAAAGTAGGATGTTATTTCATTATTTTTTTTAAAATCAGCTAATACTAATGTATTTACATGCATGGTGAGCTCTTAACATATTCTATCTATCCAGTACAAATAATTTCATAAATATAATAAAAAAAACAACAGATAGTGAAGATTTCAGTTCCCATATTCCAGTGTTTCTTGCACTTTTCCAGGAGTGTATTCAATTATTATTAATAATTATCAGCATTTTCCATATTATTTGTAACAAGATCTCATTATTCAATCACATTGCCAGGCTATGTTATGAAACACCAGAAGCCTCACACACTTTTCCAATATTTTAATATTTAATTAAACAACTTCATTTTCTCCTGGTGGACATGCAGCAGAGCCTGGGTGTTATTTGAACCCTTTAATCAGCTCTAACAGCTGAGCACTAACTCATATCAGCACTAATATTTTAAAGATAAATTAACCTTTGAACTGATGGATCAGACTGAAATGTTTATCCTAAAATTGACAGAATTTTAAATTGAGTTTGGCCTGCGCTCTCTGAATCTGGTGCAAAATCTTTAAAAAAGAAATCCCACCAGACTCTATTTGATAGAGTGTAAATGTAATTATTCTAATGTAATATGATTCATTTCACATCTTTGTGTATATATATATATATATATATATATATATATTATGTATATATATTAATGTTGACTTTATACATTTTTTTAGGCACTATCATCAGTTTTTTCTCTGTGTCAAAAGGCCTATAAAACATTAACGCTTTAATTTGAAACTTCGCCATCACAGCCTGGTTCCGTGTTTTTAAACAGTGTTATGTTAATATCTGATTATTTGTGGCTGTGAAAAGGTGTTGAGTGCAGAGGAGGCCCTCGTCACTCGGGCCCTCCCACAGCCCTGCAGCCAGGCGGGGGGCTCCGCCACTCTGAGCTGGGCTTTGATTGAGCCTGCTGACTTAACCTTTGTCAGCCTCCACCCTGCGAGGGGGCAAGTGCTCCGTGTCTGGATCATAATACAATTAGTACATCTGAACCGTTGACCTCTGCAGCCCAGAGGTCACACGGAGAGGCAGAGAGGCAGAGAGGCTCTGACGCTGGGGCTGAGAGTCTGTTTGCTCTGCAGCTGCAGCTCCATCGTCCAAAACCACACAGCGAGGAGCGGACATAAATCTGTTTGCTGCTCCTGACAGTATGGATTGAGTGAGGGTGACATTTTTAAATAAATTCCTATCTGTGTTATTATTTTTGGGAATATATTCAGAACCTTAAATCAAATCTGATCCTTCCTTTGTTTTCGTTGGAAGTAAATCTTACAAAGTGCAAACATAATCCTGAACTAAAACAGTGATAGTGTTTTCGCTCCTGTGTTTGCTAAATCGCCTTGGTGATCTTCAGACCACCCACTCAGAGAGCCAACGACTCTGATTATTTATCTCTGATGAGTTTGACTCTCTCAGCTCTCGTTACACTTTTCTTCTCTGAGCACAAACATGTTCAAATGAGTTTTTATTGTGTCAAATGTCAGTTTAGATTCAAAGCCTGTAGTGTGTCAGTTAAACCTATTACATCACTAATACTTGTGTATTTATGTGAGGATTTGTCGAGTGTGTTCACATGATTGTAAATATAGCAGACGTCTCACTCTTTGTTTGAGGTGAAACATGGTGATAATTGGAGGGTATTGACTACACTTGGAGACACACACACATATGCGTGCGCACACACACACAAACTATGTGCGCATCCAGAAGCGTGCACACACACCCACCCACACACACACACACACATACATGTTAAAATTCAGCACAGACACATATGCATGTTTAGATTTAATGCACGTATTTAGACCACACATGCGCACACACACACACACACACACACACACACACACACAGAGGTCTTACTGTTTACTTATTTTATGATTCATGATTATGTGTCAGAAAGTACATTATTTTTCATGAAATAAGGAAATTATTGTCACATTACAAACAAAAATATTGAATTTAAAAAAATGTCAAATTTCATCATCAGACCTAAATAAATGTAAATTTGCTCCTTTTTGAATTGTTATTCTTAAATTGGTGGAGGGAAGCCCGAGTGTGTCAAACAATAATTTACTATTGATTTCCTAGGATCTTTCCATCTGGTCTCGCTGTCTGTTTCCTAATGGGCCAAAGCCTGAACAGATGCAACACTGATCCTAAAGTCTGAAATCTTTTCACTGAGAACGTCAGAAACCAGCTACTGACAGAGGACAAAGGGAAAGAGGGAGTCTAAAGATCAACGTCAGGCTGAAGAAAACCACAGTGTTTTTGTAATAGAAGTTTTGAATACACAGATTTTGCAGATATAATTAACTGTAATTTTTAAAAAAAAATGATTAAAAAAAGTAACAGCGGATTGACATTAGAAGTTAGGATTGATAACCAATCCAAATGTTATATCCTGGATGTTCTGGTTTCTTCTATTTTTATTTTCCTTTGCACCAATCACTTAGGTATCGACTCAATCGATTATCAATTGCCTGGTGTTGTCGGTAATGGGAAAAAACAAGTCTAGTTTATTTGTCTGAGCGCAATCACTGATACAGTAATAATCAATTTATAAAATTTCTCAAACAGCTGTGCTTTACTGCATTAAAAAAAAAAACATTAATGACAGGAAAGTGTTTGAGAATCAAACCAGTTACTCAGAGTAACTAAACTGCCCTGATGCAGTAAACCTCTCTTTAAAATAAAGACACCATGTTCTAGTGTTTGACCAACACATGTGAAGCATGCAAATGTTTCTAGCTAAAAATTAAACACATTATTTAAATGTGTGAATGCAGCTAAAATCAATGTACTGTAGGGAATTCCATTATCTGTCTGAGAGGTCAGAAAACCTTATTAAACATCTGAAAACAAAAACCTCTGCTAACACTTTGAAGTGACTTTTTTTTATGTTTGTTGAATCCTGTGTTTTAAAATGGGATCAGAAAATAATATGAACATGTGTAAACATTTAAATAGTTGGGAAAACTTTATCTATTCTATAATCAAACATCAGATATAAACAGAGGAAAATAAAGTGGTTATTATTAACTGGTATTCCCCCTAAGTTTCCTCTGCGTAGTTAAAAAAAACATATTTTCCACTCTCTGTGACGGTGTTACGTGTATCTATTTACTCTAATTGTCTTGGGTGAAATACAGAAATCTAAGATGTTTTCTTTGTCTTCAAATGATCTGTTTCCAGATGTGTTTAGCATAATTTTAAACAAACCGTCTTGTGATTCAACTCGACATGTTTGTTGTCTTTGGACACTTTGGGATCTCTTGTGGAATCTGAAGTTCAGTGGGTTTGAACAATGCTTGTCCACACAACATGTGTTGTTTGGAAAGATGGACTCGACAGCGGGCGTGTGGGGATTAATTACAGTGTGATAAAGGAAAATTGGGCCCTTTGGTGAAATATCAGGACAATAAATGATCAGTTTTTGTATTCTTAATCTTCTTCTGTTTCCTTCTCAGGCATCATGGAGAGAGAGGCGACCAGTGGATGCTGCCACAGTGAGGAAACACACATCTGTGACAAGTGCTGCGCAGAGTTCTTCACTTGGACTGAACTGAATGAACATCAGAAGGTCTGCACCGAGGATCCCTTGGTGCTGATAGTTAAGGACAATGAAGGGATGCCTGTTCCTGAGGAGTCTCCTGTGGGACCCTCTCCGGTTCCCAGCCTTGTGTCCAGTGACTCATCCGCAGCCGAGTCCGCAGACGCCTGCTTTGAGCTGGGAGAGCCGCTGGTGAACGACAATGACAGTGTGGATAATTTAGAGGACGGCCGGGAGCAGGACGAAGCCATGGAGCTTCAGGACAAATACACCACAACCTCCAGCCCTCAGCCTTCAGACTCAGCTGAGTCCACTTCCCCGCAGATGTCAGCAGCTGGCAGCTACGGCATGCCGAGTACAAATGTGACGCTGGAGATCCTTCACAGCACCAGAGTCGCTGTGGCCCAGTTCTCCCAGGGGATCAACAGCAGTGGCGCAGGAGGGAAGGCGGCTTCAGCAGCCATCCCTGTGATCCTGGAGCACCTGCTGGCTCTGCAGCAACAACAGGTCCACCAGCTGCAGCTCATTGAGCAGATCTGCAGCCAGGTAGCCATCATGAACAGACAACCAACACAAGCTGCGTTAAACCCGGTCTCCAGATCCCTGTCTCTGGCACCTAACCCCTTCCCCTCCCAAGGCATCGTCCCTCCTCCCATCCTGCCACTGTCAGGGACGATGCCATCCACTGTTAATGGACAGGCTGCTGTTTCTTTGTCGTCTGTGCTTGAAAAGTCACAAAATATCCCGTCACAGACTGTATGTGGGAAGTCCAACTTTAGAGACGTTACATGTACCTCAGCTCCCCCAGAAAATTCAGCTCCATCTCTGTCCAGCAGCAGCAACAGCAGCAGCATCTCCACGTTACTTCCTCCTTACACAGGCTCACACACCAGCAGCATTAGCTGCACTCAAACACTGAGCTCCTCCAGCTCGCTGTCCCTGGGGCAGAGTGGCCTCCTCAGCTCATCCTCCAGCCTGCCATTTCTACCTCAGAGCCCCCCCAGCAGCGTCATTTTCCCCAATCCCTTGGCTAGCATCGCTGCCACAGCTAATGCACTTGACCCTCTCGCAGCCCTGATGAAGCACAGGAAAGGGAAACTGCCTAACGTGTCCTTGTTTGAAACGAAGCCCAGCCCAGAGGAACCCTTCTTCAAACATAAATGCAGGTTCTGTGCCAAAGTGTTTGGCAGCGACAGCGCTCTGCAGATCCACCTGCGCTCCCATACAGGAGAGCGCCCCTTCAAATGCAACATCTGTGGCAATCGCTTCTCCACGAAAGGGAACTTAAAGGTGCACTTCCAGAGGCATAAAGAGAAGTATCCTCATGTTCAGATGAACCCCTACCCAGTGCCAGAATATCTAGACAATGTGCCAACAAATTCTGGGATTCCCTATGGAATGTCCATCCCTCCAGAAAAACCAGTCTCCTCGTGGCTGGACAGCAAACCCGTTGTAGCAACTCTGCCAGCCACCATGGGTCTTCCATTTTCCTCCACTGTTACCAGTATCGGAGGCTCAAATGACCCTGTAAGTGTAACACCATCCGTTAAGTCGCCCTACCAGGCAGCTCCTGGTGAATGTATATCTTTGTCACCTAACCACAGAGGCAGTGAGGCTCATTTCTCTCCTGTTTCAGAGTCTCCTCAGTCAAACCGTGAGACAGAAGCATCCAATATACTGAAAACAGAGGGAGTACACCTGCCCCAAAGCTGCACCCTGAGACTGAGAGCCAACCCGGTAACAGAAGCAACCAGCACTACGATCCCATCTGTGGCCACCACGCCTGAACCTGTCACCTCAGCTTCCCCCGTCCCCAACTCTCCAACCCTCTTGTTCAACTCAGACGAAACTAAATTCCCATCTGGCGGCCTCCTGGATTCTATGCAAACCTCTGAAACCTCAAAGCTTCAGCAGCTGGTGGAGAATATCGACAAAAAGATCACAGACCCCAACCAGTGCGTCCTCTGTCACCGCGTCCTCAGCTGTCAGAGCGCGCTGAAGATGCACTACCGCATTCACACTGGGGAGAGGCCCTTTAAATGCAAAGTGTGTGGCAGGGCTTTCACCACCAAAGGCAACCTGAAGACACACATCGGCGTTCACAGGGAGAATCCCCCGGTTCAGGTGCAACACTCGTGTCCTATTTGCCAGAAGAAGTTCACCAACGCTGTTGTTCTTCAGCAGCACATCCGTATGCACATGGTGGGGCAGATTCCAGACTCGGCCCTGGTGGACGGGCTGCAGGAGATGGACAGCGACATCTCCATAAACGGGAAGAGCTTTGACAGTCTCAGCAGCAATGGCAATGACTTGATTGATGATATTTCAATGGAGGATGATAATGAGGAAGAGGAGGAGGAGGTAGAAAATATGGAGGAAGGTGTGAGTCCCTCTAAACCCTTGATCTCTGCTTGTAATTCTCCTCCTAAGCCCTTCACCATTGTTTCAAGTTTAGCAGCTCTGGAGAACCAAATGAAGATGGTAGACTCCACTGTAAATCTAAACCACTGTTTCGGCTTAAAACCCCTAACAAACGGCTTCAATGACAGCAGCCAACTCAATATTAAATGCGCTTTATCAGAGAAAATGGTGGAGAATTCCAGTGTAAACAGCCCAAATGTGTCAGAATCCTCCTGTTCACCTCATGCATCTGCATCTCCGATTCAAAGCAACTCAGAAGGCGTGACGATCAAATCACCTGCAGTGAACCACAGCATGCCAGAATCTCAAGAGCCTTTGGCAACCTCAGTGAAGAGAGAGCAATCTGAGTCTCCTACCTCTGCATCGGCAGCTGCAGCAGCGCAGGAGCGGAGAGGAATACAACCCAGTAAACTGTGTGTGAAAGAGGAGGCTACTTACAGTATGTCCTTCCAGCTGAGCAGAGACAGAGGTACATTTAGCATGTCACGTATTCATTTATAGACATTGTCATAACCTACAAAAGTTCAAATATTTTTCTGTTTTTTGATTTATGTTTCATTTGTGCACTGGGGTTTCTGCTGCAGGTCAAAACATTCCAAGCATGGTTACCAGCACATCATCAGGCCTCATAAAAACCGAGCTGAGCAGTCACAGTCAACCAAACAACCTAAGCGAAGGTCAGCACCCACCGTTTAGTGTCCACATCCCTCCGGCTTACCCGTCAGTCAGCAGCCCGGGCATGACCTCCCTGCTCGGCCCCGCGCCCCCTCGACGGACGCCGAAGCAGCACAACTGCAACGTCTGCGGGAAGAACTTCTCGTCGGCCAGCGCTCTACAGATCCATGAGCGCACACACACCGGGGAGAAACCGTTTGTCTGCTCCATCTGCGGCAGAGCTTTCACCACAAAAGGCAATCTGAAGGTAGATGACAGACTTTGTTGTTCTGTCCAGATTCAAGCTGAGATGTAGGTTTTGTTGAGATATTTAGTGGTAAATAACCTTTCATGAAATACTAGAGTATAGAGTCATATGATAATGGAGGATACTCCGTAACTACAGCTGAATAAACAAATGAATAATTAATTAATCTTAAAATTAAAACTTTGAGTGTTTCGACTACAAGTGTAGTGAGTCTAACTCTGGATTGTGTTGTATTGTATTTTAATGCAATGCACCAAACATGGCAACAGCATAACCTCTTGTATAAAAACAAAGAAAAGCAAAGGATTGATCTTGCATAAATCCCAAGGAAAAGTGAAGAAAAACTAAGTGAAGCCAATTCGTAAAATAAAATACTTGTCAAACGTCCTGTTAAAACACACACCATCCCCCTGTTAACAAAAAGTGTATGATTTCTACATTACAAGTATATATATATATATATATATATACTGTTGCCCATAAAGTTGGAATATATTTTTTTTTCAGTTTAATTATGGTTTAATTTCCATTGTGATATGTTTGGAAGAGATTGACTACTAAAGTTTTGAGAAGATATACACTTTATCTGTCAAGAATAAATCACATTGTCACAATCATTTCATGGAAAGAGGTAAAAAATATTTTATTCCAACTTTATGAGCAACACTGTATATATATATATATATATATATATATATATTTTAGTTATATTTTTGGGCATTTTTGCCTTTATTTTTGATAGTACAGTGAGAGATAGACAGAAAAGTCAGGGAGAGAGACTGAGGGGATGACATGCAGCAAAGGGCCGTGGGTCGGATCTGACCCCATGGTTGCTGCGGTTAGGACCAAGTCCATGTGATATGTGATCTACCAGGTGAGCCACCAAGGCGCCCCTACATTACGACATATTTATTCTTCTAAGAAAACATTTCCACTTCAGGAAACATAAGAAAATTAGGAAATAAGGTGTTTCTGGCACCTTTTAAAATAAAAGTCTGAATTTGAGTCTGCTGAATCCACATTGGAATTTATAATCCCCTGTTTAGCGCAACAAGATACTGACTAATACAAAAGCATGTTTGGAGAGTTACAGAGTCCCATGGTTGAGGCTGAGGGAGACCCTGAAGAGTTTTTCATTTATTTAATTGTATTTTTGAACCAGCAAATTGTCTGCTTTTGACAAATTCATTCTCAAATATATCCACTTAGGTATGTATATATATATATATATATAATATATAATATTATCATATATGTAGTACAACAATAACTGTAAATATTTATTGGTTTGCCAATAATTTGTTTGATTAATCGACTGACCATTTGGTTTGTAAAATGTCAGAAAATAGTGATAAATATCCATCAAAATTTCCCAGAACCCAGTGGAACCAACAGCCCAAAACTCAAAGATATTGAGCTTATTATCATATAAAACAGTATGTAACAATTATTTAGCACATTTGCTTAAAGAATTACTCAAATTATTAATGAATTTTCATAATAATTTTTGATTAATTTATTGTTCATCAACTGACTGATTAATTGACTGATCGCCTCTGAATCATTTAAAAACCTTATACTATTCGAACCCTGATATAAACATTAAAAGAGTTAAAAAATACATCTGAAATGTCATTAAACTGTGTTTTGGAACGATTTAGCATTTTTCAAAAGACCTATCAGTTTGTCAACATATAGAATGGAATATAGACATATAGAATCATAGCTCAATAGGGAGAATAAAGCACTAGCTGTTTTAATATCAGGGGCTTGATACTCACTTGGACCATCCATGTTTTGCATTTTAGAATAACAGCATGCACTAATTCTAATACATGTCATTTTCAGGTTCATATGGGAACTCACATGTGGAACAACGCACCAGCCAGGAGAGGCAGGCGGCTGTCGGTGGAGAACCCCATGGCCTTACTGGGTGGAGAGGCCATGAAGTTTGGGGAGATGTTTCAGAAGGACCTGGCAGCTCGAGCCATGAATGTAGACCCTGGCTTTTGGAACCGCTACGCAACAGCCATCACCAACAGCCTGGCCATGAAAAACAACGAGATCTCAGTGATTCAGAACAGAGGCATCTCTCAGCTTCACCCTCTGACTGCAGGCATGGACAGAGTGAGCACCACAGGAAGTCCAATCACCAGTATAACCAAGACAGGCATGGACCTGGGAAATAACAGACATTTTTCTATGCTGATTGATGACAGCAAAGAAATTGGAATCAATTGAATAAAGCTGAATGGTGATGAAATACTTATGCAAACTATTATGGACGTTAAAATATTTGTAAAACATCTTGTTTGTTCTTATGTATTATATATATAGACTTAAAAAAGAACTTTTTATCAATTGACAGAGAATAGTAGGGTATTCACATTTTGCTATTTTACTTTGCAGTCATTTGTGAATGTTTTTTTCTATACATGAAATAAGTTGTTTAACTTGTACCTGAAAATTCCTACGGTGCTTAGACATATGGTCACTCTGAAGAAGGGAACATATGTTCAAATCAATAATGCAAAGAGTCTGCTATCTTCTCCGGACAGCTGCCCAATGCTGCTAGCTGGTGCAAAGCACAAAATATGCTCATAAATACCCACAACAACAAACTGCAATGGTCTGTTGTCAATGTTCTGGTGAGAAATTGTTGGACCGAATAAAAAATAGAACAAACCGTCTGTATGTTCAGTTCACTACCTCACTCTGTTTAAACACTGAAAAGAGTTTATTGTCTTGATGTTATATCACACATTTCTTCATATTACACCAGAGTTAAAATTTCAACAAGGACTGAACTCTTTGATCTCCTTTTCCTTCATCGGCAGAAATACTTTTGCAAACATGAGCATTTTGTAATAAAGGATTTTTCTTTTTTTTCTCCCAAAACAAATGACTCCTGTATAATGTAAAACAGGAGGAATCACGCATGTACTAATTTGCACTCAAACAAAAAGCATTTGTTAAAATGTTGTTTCTGTGTCTTTAATGCTCTTGTTGTGTGCTGCTGTGAAACTAGGCTGTTCTCAAGCCTCAGCATTTTACAAAACGTCGCATTCAAGATAATAATAATAATAATGATATTTAAAAAAATTATTATTTTTTCATTCCAAACCAGACTTCATGACCTGCTCTCCAAAAGAGGCTTCAAAGAGGCAAATTGATTCCTTTATCAGGAGCACATCAGAAAGTGGATTTGTTTTCAGATTAATGTGGATTTTCTTGGGAATGGCGGTTACAAATTATTTTGGGAGACATTAAAAACTCGTTAAGCTTTTTATCTGGAATATTATCTGGTATTTAAATGAAAATATAAAAAGTAAAGACAAAGTGGTCAGCCTTAACCTTGATAAGAAACTGGATTTAAGGAAGACGATTAGCTATATGGGAAAAACAGTGTCAACTCAAAGGTTGCCTTACTGGCTTTTTCAGGCTTTCGACCGCATCACACGGTTTTTATCAGCGAATAACTGCTCTAAATTTGTTTTCAACCAAGTGAGGACGGTTGTTTGTTACTCATTTGATTTTATATGCTTAACACTATTGGTTATGTAGAATATAAGTCTCGTTAATGCTCCAGTCTCATTTTATCAGAAACTATAAATGTTACTTGACCACACGTATGCTGCCTTTGTAGACTCCCGGAAAGCGCACATTCCGCAATGTTACAATGAATCCGACGTACTTTTGGTAAAAATAAACATTTCCATTATTTATTTGTTTAGTTTTAGAAATGCGTTATGACAGAATGGAGAGAATGGAAAATATACTCTGTATGATTTCTAACCTTAAAATTCGCACCACAGTACGTTTGTTCGTCCGTAAGGGTCACAGTTTCAATATTTTCGCGCAGTAAGTGAATGCAGCATAAATCCTAAACGTCTTTTCAGTGTGACGTCAGGATGTGTACTGCCCAGCCAAGATGGCTGACAGCATCCCGTTAAATCCGGTGCGGAAGAACTCGAAGAGAATTCCGTATTACAACTCGGCCAGACATTCAAGGTATGGAGGGGCCAGCGGGGCTGTTTCTTTGGTCACGTACTGAAGAAAGCTGCTGTTTCTCTGAAATGTTTACCCGCGGCTGCCCCGGGCTCCGTGTCTTGTGTTCGGATTGTGGTTGTTAGCTTGTGTTGCTAGCACTGCAGCTGACAGCTCCTTCGCATTTTCTCCTTTGACAGCTCCTTCCTTTTGCTCGCATCACCATCCCTTAAGCTAAAAACCCGTGTAATGTTTACTCTACCTTTACTAGTCCAAGACAACCAGCCCTACACGCTCTCAGTTTGAGTTAGAGTAGGTTAGTGACATATCTTTGTTGATCACTGCGCTGGCATTAATTTAAAGTCACATGACGGCTTCTCTGTGTTATCTGATTCGTCACATGTTATAGAAGTATTGTTGCACACTGAAGTCATCACTCAAGAGTTTGTTCATTTTTCAGACTGGACGAGGATGAGCTAATAAAGCCCTAAAGGTGAGGACTGGACAGAAAGTGAAGTAGGTGCATGACCAGGTACTTTCAGACCCAGAAGCAACTTAAGCTGTTACTGCTTTTACAATAACAAGTAAATCTGTTTGCCACCCACCGCAAGTATGTCTACTAAGGTGACTAGATTTCTGAAATGAAATGCAAGGACATTTCTAGTTCAGTGGCCACTATATCATTACAGTATCCAGTGTTTTTATCTGTGGCGAATACAGTTCTGGTTTCATACATTTAACTGTCAAACAGTGACAGGTTGAAAAAAATCTTCTGACTAAATTTTTTTCAGGCCAAGTTATATCCCCCATCTATAATTTCTAAAACAAGTTACAGAGGTTTCCAGCACATTAGACCTGGGAAAACATATACCATGTTAATTATGTTAAATTGAAAATGATGCAGTAGGCACGGTAGCCTACATCCAAGTAGATTGTTTGCCTATTATTGAGCTACCTATCACTTGGTATTACAATTCCTCAGTCCTGTAGCCCCGCCCCTGATTCTAAGCTGGGTTACCTTATGTTTGTTTGTTGTGATGTGAATTCACTTGAAACATGCTATTTTTACACAGCAGTTTTCTCTAAAAGCAGGCGAGCAAGTAGTTAGTAGTAGAAGAAAAGTGATATGAAGCTGCTATAGTGAGCAGTCAGCCCTCCTTGCCTGTATGTTCTGCTGCCAGATATTTCCTTCTGGTATGTATTTTAATTTATTGTTAAAAACGGGGACCTTTCTGGGGACAGCTCCAGCCGTCTGGTCACCATAGTGTCTACCAGTAAGGGCGGGAATTACGATTTCATTCCGATTTTGATTCTTGGTGACACATTTCGGTTCAGAATTGATTCTCGATTCAATAAAGAAAGAAAGAGGGAAAAGAAATAATATATTTTGGCTCTTGCTCCAGCTCACTCAGTGCTCAGGTCCTCCAATAAAACTAAAGTGACAGTTAAGTGGTCCTGATGAGGGTCTGACTAACAGAAAAATTTGTGAGAATATGCAGATTTATTTAACTATATGTTAAATGCATTAACTTGAAAGGATGCTCAGCTGTGGAGAACAACCTCTCAGCTGAAATGCTACTACAGAGAAAGCCATCATTATCTGATAAGTGCAGACTACAGGTGCAGAGCTTTTGAAATGAAACAGACTGTTGACTGAGGCAATATCTTCACCCACAAATGTTGCTTGAAGTTTTGTAAAGTGCTGCAGTGTGTCTTGATCATCTGGTCTCGTTTGTTAGTGCTGGAGTCTGATAATGTTAATCTCTAGGTGATGGGGTAATAATAATAATAACTTTATTTATATAGAACTTATCAAAATCCGAGATTACAAAGTGTTTCACAAGGATAAAATAACAAAACAAACACAAACATACTCAAGATAATAAAACAATAAAAACAGAAACACAAGTAAGCAATGTTAAAATATGTGAAATATTTAAATTAAATTATTCAAAAGCTTTGTGAAAGAAATGGGTTTTTAGAAGCGTTTAAAAGAAGATTCTGATTTTACCAGTCTAAGTTCATCGGGCAGGTTGTTTCAGAGTTGTGGTGTCCTGACAGCAAAAGCTCCGCCCCTTTAAGTCTTACATCTTGATGTAGGAGCTACCAACAGCTTCCTGTCTGAGGACCTTTGACTACGTGCAGGTTGATTCAGAGATATAGTTGAGGGCCATGAAGTGCTTTAAAAGTCAGAAGTAGAATTTTCAAATGGAATCATTAACAAAATACTTCGCCTTTGTTTTACAAAGCTGATTATTAAGATAATAAATCCTAAATGCGCTTTTCGCCCAGCCCTATCTTCCACAATTGATTTTGTGTATAAGCAGCTCGTTTTGAGTTGTGATGATGTTTATCTCCTCTATGTCAAAATCATATTTAAATGTAAATTTTAAGGTGAACACCTCTGCCCCTCTGAATTCCCTTCCTTTGCTCTCATTAATGAAATTCATGACAGCTTTGTTGAGGCCTATGGTTAAATTGTCTGGCCTCATCATGGAGGTCAGACTGCACCTACAGAGCAGAGCACTGGTCCTGAAGCTGGTAAAAATCACAGGCAGAGCTTTTCCATTGACACTGCGGACAACTGTTGGCAGTAATTCTTGTGTTGCACCGGAGAGCCAGGAAACCTTTTTACAAACCAACCCACGTTTTTTCACTGGATTAAGAGTTGAATTATTATGTAATCAGATGTGGGAGTTCCAAAGCAAGAAACACTGGGGCTATTAATGTACCTCGTTGGCAACTTCCCACAGTTTGTAAAGGAAACATATAAAAAAAAAAAAAACAACTGAAGTTGGTGGTTGCTGGTGATTCATATGTTGCCTCATGAACAGTGGTGTCTGAGATCAAAGCCTCCAGAGTTGATTTGCAGGTTTAGAACCAAATCTAACAAGTCAACATTACTCAGTATTTGCTCAACCTACCACTGCTTTTTGAGTATTTAATTTGTGTAATCCCTTAAATCTATAGTCTTTTTAAAAAATTTCCACTCATTGTGGAGACTCTCCTCCCATATTTAGTTATAGATCTATGCTTTCTTTTCAGACTTGTCAGTTTACCTTTGATCTGTCTTGAGCATGTCTGTATAAAAAAANTGTCAACTCAAAGGTTGCCTTACTGGCTTTTTCAGGCTTTCGACCGCATCACACGGTTTTTATCAGCGAATAACTGCTCTAAATTTGTTTTCAACCAAGTGAGGACGGTTGTTTGTTACTCATTTGATTTTATATGCTTAACACTATTGGTTATGTAGAATATAAGTCTCGTTAATGCTCCAGTCTCATTTTATCAGAAACTATAAATGTTACTTGACCACACGTATGCTGCCTTTGTAGACTCCCGGAAAGCGCACATTCCGCAATGTTACAATGAATCCGACGTACTTTTGGTAAAAATAAACATTTCCATTATTTATTTGTTTAGTTTTAGAAATGCGTTATGACAGAATGGAGAGAATGGAAAATATACTCTGTATGATTTCTAACCTTAAAATTCGCACCACAGTACGTTTGTTCGTCCGTAAGGGTCACAGTTTCAATATTTTCGCGCAGTAAGTGAATGCAGCATAAATCCTAAACGTCTTTTCAGTGTGACGTCAGGATGTGTACTGCCCAGCCAAGATGGCTGACAGCATCCCGTTAAATCCGGTGCGGAAGAACTCGAAGAGAATTCCGTATTACAACTCGGCCAGACATTCAAGGTATGGAGGGGCCAGCGGGGCTGTTTCTTTGGTCACGTACTGAAGAAAGCTGCTGTTTCTCTGAAATGTTTACCCGCGGCTGCCCCGGGCTCCGTGTCTTGTGTTCGGATTGTGGTTGTTAGCTTGTGTTGCTAGCACTGCAGCTGACAGCTCCTTCGCATTTTCTCCTTTGACAGCTCCTTCCTTTTGCTCGCATCACCATCCCTTAAGCTAAAAACCCGTGTAATGTTTACTCTACCTTTACTAGTCCAAGACAACCAGCCCTACACGCTCTCAGTTTGAGTTAGAGTAGGTTAGTGACATATCTTTGTTGACCACTGCGCTGGCATTAATTTAAAGTCACATGACGGCTTCTCTGTGTTATCTGATTCGTCACATGTTATAGAAGTATTGTTGCACACTGAAGTCATCACTCAAGAGTTTGTTCATTTTTCAGACTGGACGAGGATGAGCTAATAAAGCCCTAAAGGTGAGGACTGGACAGAAAGTGAAGTAGGTGCATGACCAGGTACTTTCAGACCCAGAAGCAACTTAAGCTGTTACTGCTTTTACAATAACAAGTAAATCTGTTTGCCACCCACCGCAAGTATGTCTACTAAGGTGACTAGATTTCTGAAATGAAATGCAAGGACATTTCTAGTTCAGTGGCCACTATATCATTACAGTATCCAGTGTTTTTATCTGTGGCGAATACAGTTCTGGTTTCATACATTTAACTGTCAAACAGTGACAGGTTGAAAAAAATCTTCTGACTAAATTTTTTTCAGGCCAAGTTATATCCCCCATCTATAATTTCTAAAACAAGTTACAGAGGTTTCCAGCACATTAGACCTGGGAAAACATATACCATGTTAATTATGTTAAATTGAAAATGATGCAGTAGGCACGGTAGCCTACATCCAAGTAGATTGTTTGCCTATTATTGAACTACCTATCACTTGGTATTACAATTCCTCAGTCCTGTAGCCCCGCCCCTGATTCTAAGCTGGGTTACCTTATGCTGTTTGTTGTGATGTGAATTCACTTGAAACATGCTATTTTTACACACCAGTTTTCTCAAAAAGCAGGCGAGCAAGTAGTTAGTAGTAGAAGAAAAGTGATATGAAGCTGCTATAGTGAGCAGTCAGTCCTCCTTGCCTGTATGTTCTGCTGCCAGATATTTCCTTCTGGTATGTATTTTAATTTATTGTTAAAAACGGGGACCTTTCTGGGGACAGCTCCAGCCGTCTGGTCACCATAGTGTCTACCAGTAAGGGCGGGAATTACGATTTCATTCCGATTTTGATTCTTGGTGACACATTTCGGTTCAGAATTGATTCTCGATTCAATAAAGAAAGAAAGAGGGAAAAGAAATAATATATTTTGGCTCTTGCTCCAGCTCACTCAGTGCTCAGGTCCTCCAATAAAACTAAAGTGACAGTTAAGTGGTCCTGATGAGGGTCTGACTAACAGAAAAATTTGTGAGAATATGCAGATTTATTTAACTATATGTTAAATGCATTAACTTGAAAGGATGCTCAGCTGTGGAGAACAACCTCTCAGCTGAAATGCTACTACAGAGAAAGCCATCATTATCTGATAAGTGCAGACTACAGGTGCAGAGCTTTTGAAATGAAACAGACTGTTGACTGAGGCAATATCTTCACCCACAAATGTTGCTTGAAGTTTTGTAAAGTGCTGCAGTGTGTCTTGATCATCTGGTCTCGTTTGTTAGTGCTGGAGTCTGATAATGTTAATCTCTAGGTGATGGGGTAATAATAATAATAACTTTATTTATATAGAACTTATCAAAATCCGAGATTACAAAGTGTTTCACAAGGATAAAATAACAAAACAAACACAAACATACTCAAGATAATAAAACAATAAAAACAGAAACACAAGTAAGCAATGTTAAAATATGTGAAATATTTAAATTAAATTATTCAAAAGCTTTGTGAAAGAAATGGGTTTTTAGAAGCGTTTAAAAGAAGATTCTGATTTTACCAGTCTAAGTTCATCGGGCAGGTTGTTTCAGAGTTGTGGTGTCCTGACAGCAAAAGCTCCGCCCCTTTAAGTCTTACATCTTGATGTAGGAGCTACCAACAGCTTCCTGTCTGAGGACCTTTGACTACGTGCAGGTTGATTCAGAGATATAGTTGAGGGCCATGAAGTGCTTTAAAAGTCAGAAGTAGAATTTTCAAATCGAATCGTTAACAAAATACTTCGCCTTTGTTTTACAGAGCTGATTATTAAGATAATAAATCCTAAATGCGCTTTTCGCCCAGCCCTATCTTCCACAATTGATTTTGTGTATAAGCAGCTCGTTTTGAGTTGTGATGATGTTTATCTCCTCTATGTCAAAATCATATTTAAATGTAAATTTTAAGGTGAACACCTCTGCCCCTCTGAATTCCCTTCCTTTGCTCTCATTAATGAAATTCATGACAGCTTGTTGAGGCCTATGGTTAAATTGTCTGGCCTCATCATGGAGGTCAGACTGCACCTACAGAGCGGAGCACTGGTCCTGAAGCTGGTAAAAATCACAGACAGAGCTTTTCCATTGACACTGCGGACAACTGTTGGCAGTAATTCTTGTGTTGCACCGGAGAGCCAGGAAACCTTTTTACAAACCAACCCACGTTTTTTCACTGGATTAAGAGTTGAATTATTATGTAATCAGATGTGGGAGTTCCAAAGCAAGAAACACTGGGGCTATTAATGTACCTCGTTGGCAACTTCCCACAGTTTGTAAAGGAAACATATAAAAAAAACAAAAAAAACTGAAGTTGGTGGTTGCTGGTGATTCATACATTGCCTCATGAACAGTGGTGTCTGAGATCAAAGCCTCGAGAGTTGATTTGCAGGTTTAGAACCAAATCTAACAAGTCAACATTACTCAGTATTTGCTCAACCTACCACTGCTTTTTGAGTATTTAATTTGTGTAATCCCTTAAATCTATAGTCTTTTTAAAAAATTTTCCACTCATTGTGGAGACTCTCCTCCCATATTTAGTTATAGATCTATGCTTTCTTTTCAGACTTGTCAGTTTACCTTTGATCTGTCTTGAGCATGTCTGTATAAAAAACATTTTCCTCTCTTTCTGTTACCAACTGTCTTTCTGATTGCCAAGGAGATATTTTAGGTTCATATTTAAGACAACCTTGATTACCTCTTAGCTCTAGACCAGCAGAAATAACTTTTAGTTAGAAAAGAGCCAGTTTCACTAAGTGAAATCCATTATTTTAGAGGTGGATATGATTGGAGAAATTCAGGAGTCAGTTATGGAGCCATCGCTATGATCGGCATCTTGTTGGTAGAAATAACATAGGTGTTTCATGTCTCATGCTTTGAACTTTGCTGCAAGGTTAATCTGTAAAGTTGGACCAACAACCATTTTGTTCGCAAGACCCTCATGACCACCTTATACCCACTGTTAACATCACAGGAAGTTTGTTTGTGTGTTGTTTATTCGGTTTAGCAGAAGTTGTTACTGCTGTTGCTTTATTGTTAGTAAATTGCCTAGAATTTATTGTGCATATATTTACCGTGATGCGTGATTGATAAGTTAGTGTGATAATGTTTCAGAAAATAAATCACATGATCTTCTCATTCCCAACAAACTCTCCATGCAGAATTCATATTGTCAGAGTTTCATCACTTTTTAGGTTTTCAGTGTTTCTCTCGACTGCACCGTTATAAATATGTTTTATAAAGCATGTTCCATCATAACAGATATATGTATATAAGCAAATAAAACTGATAGGATTATTAGGAGGTTTGCTGGCATCTTGGATTTATGATGATGTATCAGCTTTTCCCCTGCGGCTACAGAGTTTCTCAATTCGTTGGAGGGACTTCATGAATAGGACATTATGTGCTCTTCAAGTGTGTTTCTCTATAATGTGAATAGGAGACGTGCTCTACCGTACTTAGTGATAGAAGAACTGCTCTGACAAACTTTAATGTTTGCTTCACTACAGTCCTTCACTAAATTGAAGAGCATTTCTCATTCCTTTTCTTTTTTCATTTTAAAGATATTTTTTTGGCATTTTTCACCTTTTTTATTGGTCAGAAAATTAGGGAAGAGATGCAACACAGGTCCCCGTCCAAAATCAAACTGTGGATGTTGCGTTTATGTGGCATGAGCTGTAACCATTCAGCTCCCAAGGCGCTTCATAGTCACCCAACTGTAATGTGTAAATTGAGCTGGCTTTGGCCCCACAGCCTGTATATTGAACCTGTATAATTCACAACCAGTGTGGATTAATATGTCTTCGAAATAAAAGAAATGTTTCTCAGTGTACATGAGTGATAAGGAAACACTTATCATCAATATTTTTTTGCACAAGGCAGAAGATGTTTCTGTGTTTCACCCCAAGTAGTGTCCTAGTTCTGAAAAACTGGGTTCCACTCAGCATAAGACATTTGCATTTCCAGTCTCAGCTGTTCATGTGTCACTGTACTTTGCCTCCACTGCCTCCTCACAGGTACTCTCTAGAAGATGAGCCCTCTAACCTGGATGAGATGCCTCTGATGATGTCGGAGGAAGGCTTTGAGAATGATGAGAGCGACTACCAGACGCTGCCCCGGGCCAGAGTCAACCATAGACACAGAGGCCTCGGGTGGTTTCTCTGCGGAGGGTGGAAAGTCCTCTGTGGCAGGTATTTCTGCAGCACTAGCTTTTTTTTTTTTTTTATGACTTATGTTGGTAATCTGTGCATGACGACTTGAAGAAATGATGCACAAATCAAAGTCTAGTCTTTTGTAGCTGGATCTTTTTAGACAATCAAAAACAAACATTCAAATATTCTCAAGAAAGTTTCTATTTCTGTCGTATTTTTCCCGTCTGCACTGTGTCCTTGGGTATTTTGAATGTAAGATTCAACATAATGTTTTTACTATTATTGTGCCACTTGTATAAGATTTATACTTTGCAACCTTTGCATCTATAAACTATGCATCTTTAACATATGACATGAGTATGAACATATGAATATGAGTATTAGGGCCACACTGGGGGACAAAAAGCTGACATTTTGAGAATAAAGTCATAATTTTACAAGAAAAAAGTCATAATATTATGAGAATAANGAAAACATATACCATGTTAATTATGTTAAATTGAAAATGATGCAGTAGGCACGGTAGCCTACATCCAAGTAGATTGTTTGCCTATTATTGAGCTACCTATCACTTGGTATTACAATTCCTCAGTCCTGTAGCCCCGCCCCTGATTCTAAGCTGGGTTACCTTATGCTGTTTGTTGTGATGTGAATTCACTTGAAACATGCTATTTTTACACACCAGTTTTCTCAAAAAGCAGGCGAGCAAGTAGTTAGTAGTAGAAGAAAAGTGATATGAAGCTGCTATAGTGAGCAGTCAGTCCTCCTTGCCTGTATGTTCTGCTGCCAGATATTTCCTTCTGGTATGTATTTTAATTTATTGTTAAAAACGGGGACCTTTCTGGGGACAGCTCCAGCCGTCTGGTCACCTTAGTGTCTACCAGTAAGGGCGGGAATTACGATTTCTTTCCGATTTTGATTCTTGGTGACACATTTCGGTTCAGAATTGATTCTCGATTCAATAAAGAAAGAAAGAGGGAAAAGAAATAATATATTTTGGCTCTTGCTCCAGCTCACTCAGTGCTCAGGTCCTCCAATAAAACTAAAGTGACAGTTAAGTGGTCCTGATGAGGGTCTGACTAACAGAAAAATTTGTGAGAATATGCAGATTTATTTAACTATATGTTAAATGCATTAACTTGAAAGGATGCTCAGCTGTGGAGAACAGCCTCTCAGCTGAAATGCTACTACAGAGAAAGCCATCATTATCTGATAAGTGCAGACTACAGGTGCAGAGCTTTTGAAATGAAACAGACTGTTGACTGAGGCAATATCTTCACCCACTAATGTCGCTTGAAGTTTTGTGCTGCAGTGTGTCTCGATCATCTGGTCTCGTTTGTTAGTGCTGGAGTCTGATAATGTTAATCTCTAGGTGATGGGGTAATAATAATAACTTTATTTATATAGAACTTATCAAAATCCGAGATTACAAAGTGTTTCACAAGGATAAAATAACAAAACAAACACAAACATACTCAAGGTAATAAAACAATAAAAACAGAAACACAAGTAAGCAATGTTAAAATATGTGAAATATTTAAATTAAATTATTCAAAAGTATTGTGAAAGAAATGGGTTTTTAGAAGCGTTTAAAAGAAGATTCTGATTTTACCAGTCTAAGTTCATCGGGCAGGTTGTTTCAGAGTTGTGGTGTCCTGACAGCAAAAGCTCCGCCCCTTTAAGTCTTACATCTTGATGTAGGAGCTACCAACAGTTTCCTGTCTGAGGACCTTTGACTACGTGCAGGTTGATTCAGAGATATAGTTGGGGGCCATGAAGTGCTTTAAAAGTCAGAAGTAGAATTTTCAAATCGAATCATTAACAAAATACTTCGCCTTTGTTTTACAAAGCTGATTATTAAGATAATAAATCCTAAATGCGCTTTTCGCCCAGCCCTATCTTCCACAATTGATTTTGTGTATAAGCAGCTCGTTTTGAGTTGTGATGATGTTTATCTCCTCTATGTCAAAATCATATTTAAATGTAAATTTTAAGGTGAACACCTCTGCCCCTCTGAATTCCCTTCCTTTGCTCTCATTAATGAAATTCATGACAGCTTTGTTGAGGCCTATGGTTAAATTGTCTGGCCTCATCATGGAGGTCAGACTGCACCTACAGAGCAGAGCACTGGTCCTGAAGCTGGTAAAAATCACAGGCAGAGCTTTTCCATTGACACTGCGGACAACTGTTGGCAGTAATTCTTGTGTTGCACCGGAGAGCCAGGAAACCTTTTTACAAACCAACCCACGTTTTTTCACTGGATTAAGAGTTGAATTATTATGTAATCAGATGTGGGAGTTCCAAAGCAAGAAACACTGGGGCTATTAATGTACCTCGTTGGCAACTTCCCACAGTTTGTAAAGGAAACATATAAAAAAAACAAAAAAAACTGAAGTTGGTGGTTGCTGGTGATTCATACATTGCCTCATGAACAGTGGTGTCTGAGATCAAAGCCTCGAGAGTTGATTTGCAGGTTTAGAACCAAATCTAACAAGTCAACATTACTCAGTATTTGCTCAACCTACCACTGCTTTTTGAGTATTTAATTTGTGTAATCCCTTAAATCTATAGTCTTTTTAAAAAATTTCCACTCATTGTGGAGACTCTCCTCCCATATTTAGTTATAGATCTATGCTTTCTTTTCAGACTTGTCAGTTTACCTTTGATCTGTCTTGAGCATGTCTGTATAAAAAAACATTTTCCTCTCTTTCTGTTACCAACTGTCTTTCTGATTGCCAAGGAGATATTTTAGGTTCATATTTAAGACAACCTTGATTACCTCTTAGCTCTAGACCAGCAGAAATAACTTTTAGTTAGAAAAGAGCCAGTTTCACTAAGTGAAATCCATTATTTTAGAGGTGGATATGATTGGAGAAATTCAGGAGTCAGTTATGGAGCCATCTCTATGATCGGCATCTTGTTGGTAGAAATAACATAGGTGTTTCATGTCTCATGCTTTGAACTTTGCTGCAAGGTTAATCTGTAAAGTTGGACCAACAACCATTTTGTTCGCAAGACCCTCATGACCACCTTATACCCACTGTTAACATCACAGGAAGTTTGTTTGTGTGTTGTTTATTCGGTTTAGCAGAAGTTGTTACTGCTGTTGCTTTATTGTTAGTAAATTGCCTAGAATTTATTGTGCATATATTTACCGTGATGCGTGATTGATAAGTTAGTGTGATAATGTTTCAGAAAATAAATCACATGATCTTCTCATTCCCAACAAACTCTCCATGCAGAATTCATATTGTCAGAGTTTCATCACTTTTTAGGTTTTCAGTGTTTCTCTCGACTGCACCGTTATAAATATGTTTTATAAAGCATGTTCCATCATAACAGATATATGTATATAAGCAAATAAAACTGATAGGATTATTAGGAGGTTTGCTGGCATCTTGGATTTATGATGATGTATCAGCTTTTCCCCTGCGGCTACAGAGTTTCTCAATTCGTTGGAGGGACTTCATGAATAGGACATTATGTGCTCTTCAAGTGTGTTTCTCTATAATGTGAATAGGAGACGTGCTCTACCGTACTTAGTGATAGAAGAACTGCTCTGACAAACTTTAATGTTTGCTTCACTACAGTCCTTCACTAAATTGAAGAGCATTTCTCATTCCTTTTCTTTTTTCATTTTAAAGATATTTTTTTGGCATTTTTCACCTTTTTTATTGGTCAGAAAATTAGGGAAGAGATGCAACACAGGTCCCCGTCCAAAATCAAACTGTGGATGTTGCGTTTATGTGGCATGAGCTGTAACCATTCAGCTCCCAAGGCGCTTCATAGTCACCCAACTGTAATGTGTAAATTGAGCTGGCTTTGGCCCCACAGCCTGTATATTGAACCTGTATAATTCACAACCAGTGTGGATTAATATGTCTTCGAAATAAAAGAAATGTTTCTCAGTGTACATGAGTGATAAGGAAACACTTATCATCAATATTTTTTTGCACAAGGCAGAAGATGTTTCTGTGTTTCACCCCAAGTAGTGTCCTAGTTCTGAAAAACTGGGTTCCACTCAGCATAAGACATTTGCATTTCCAGTCTCAGCTGTTCATGTGTCACTGTACTTTGCCTCCACTGCCTCCTCACAGGTACTCTCTAGAAGATGAGCCCTCTAACCTGGATGAGATGCCTCTGATGATGTCGGAGGAAGGCTTTGAGAATGATGAGAGCGACTACCAGACGCTGCCCCGGGCCAGAGTCAACCATAGACACAGAGGCCTCGGGGGGTTTCTCTGCGGAGGGTGGAAAGTCCTCTGTGGCAGGTATTTCTGCAGCACTAGCTTTTTTTTTTTTTTTATGACTTATGTTGGTAATCTGTGCATGACGACTTGAAGAAATGATGCACAAATCAAAGTCTAGTCTTTTGTAGCTGGATCTTTTTAGACAATCAAAAACAAACATTCAAATATTCTCAAGAAAGTTTCTATTTCTGTCGTATTTTTCCCGTCTGCACTGTGTCCTTGGGTATTTTGAATGTAAGATTCAACATAATGTTTTTACTATTATTGTGCCACTTGTATAAGATTTATACTTTGCAACCTTTGCATCTATAAACTATGCATCTTTAACATATGACATGAGTATGAACATATGAATATGAGTATTAGGGCCACACTGGGGGACAAAAAGCTGACATTTTGAGAATAAAGTCATAATTTTACAAGAAAAAAGTCATAATATTATGAGAATAAAGTCACAAGGATAAACATTACAAGAATAAAGTGGTAATTTTAAGATCTGTGTTGTTTTAGAGGGGAAATATCAGAAGCTTCTACTTTAGCAGAGGTTTCACTAATAAGGAGATACTTCATCTTATGGCTCATCAGTGTCAGACTTTTTTTCTTTTAAAAATATGACTTTTTCTTGTAATATTATGACTTTAATGTTGTAATATTATGACTTTTTATTTTTGGTAATATTACAACTTTTTTCTTATTTTAGCTTCAAAAATCACGACTTTATTCTTGACATTTCTCTTCTTCTTGAAAGATTTCTTTTTTTCCCCTCAATGTGGCCCAGAGCTTTTGAAATGAAACAGACTGTTGACTGAGGCAATATCTTCACCCACAAATGTTGCTTGAAGTTTTGTAAAGTGCTGCAGTGTGTCTTGATCATCTGGTCTCGTTTGTTAGTGCTGGAGTCTGATAATGTTAATCTCTAGGTGATGGGGTAATAATAATAACTTTATTTATATAGAACTTATCAAAATCCGAGATTACAAAGTGTTTCACAAGGATAAAATAACAAAACAAACACAAACATACTCAAGATAATAAAACAATAAAAACAGAAACACAAGTAAGCAATGTTAAAATATGTGAAATATTTAAATTAAATTATTCAAAAGTATTGTGAAAGAAATGGGTTTTTAGAAGCGTTTAAAAGAAGATTCTGATTTTACCAGTCTAAGTTCATCGGGCAGGTTGTTTCAGAGTTGTGGTGTCCTGACAGCAAAAGCTCCGCCCCTTTAAGTCTTACATCTTGATGTAGGAGCTACCAACAGTTTCCTGTCTGAGGACCTTTGACTACGTGCAGGTTGATTCAGAGATATAGTTGAGGGCCATGAAGTGCTTTAAAAGTCAGAAGTAGAATTTTCAAATCGAATCGTTAACAAAATACTTCGCCTTTGTTTTACAGAGCTGATTATTAAGATAATAAATCCTAAATGCGCTTTTCGCCCAGCCCTATCTTCCACAATTGATTTTGTGTATAAGCAGCTCGTTTTGAGTTGTGATGATGTTTATCTCCTCTATGTCAAAATCATATTTAAATGTAAATTTTAAGGTGAACACCTCTGCCCCTCTGAATTCCCTTCCTTTGCTCTCATTAATGAAATTCATGACAGCTTNACAAAGCTGATTATTAAGATAATAAATCCTAAATGCGCTTTTCGCCCAGCCCTATCTTCCACAATTGATTTTGTGTATAAGCAGCTCGTTTTGAGTTGTGATGATGTTTATCTCCTCTATGTCAAAATCATATTTAAATGTAAATTTTAAGGTGAACACCTCTGCCCCTCTGAATTCCCTTCCTTTGCTCTCATTAATGAAATTCATGACAGCTTTGTTGAGGCCTATGGTTAAATTGTCTGGCCTCATCATGGAGGTCAGACTGCACCTACAGAGCAGAGCACTGGTCCTGAAGCTGGTAAAAATCACAGGCAGAGCTTTTCCATTGACACTGCGGACAACTGTTGGCAGTAATTCTTGTGTTGCACCGGAGAGCCAGGAAACCTTTTTACAAACCAACCCACGTTTTTTCACTGGATTAAGAGTTGAATTATTATGTAATCAGATGTGGGAGTTCCAAAGCAAGAAACACTGGGGCTATTAATGTACCTCGTTGGCAACTTCCCACAGTTTGTAAAGGAAACATATAAAAAAAACAAAAAAAACTGAAGTTGGTGGTTGCTGGTGATTCATACATTGCCTCATGAACAGTGGTGTCTGAGATCAAAGCCTCGAGAGTTGATTTGCAGGTTTAGAACCAAATCTAACAAGTCAACATTACTCAGTATTTGCTCAACCTACCACTGCTTTTTGAGTATTTAATTTGTGTAATCCCTTAAATCTATAGTCTTTTTAAAAAATTTCCACTCATTGTGGAGACTCTCCTCCCATATTTAGTTATAGATCTATGCTTTCTTTTCAGACTTGTCAGTTTACCTTTGATCTGTCTTGAGCATGTCTGTATAAAAAAACATTTTCCTCTCTTTCTGTTACCAACTGTCTTTCTGATTGCCAAGGAGATATTTTAGGTTCATATTTAAGACAACCTTGATTACCTCTTAGCTCTAGACCAGCAGAAATAACTTTTAGTTAGAAAAGAGCCAGTTTCACTAAGTGAAATCCATTATTTTAGAGGTGGATATGATTGGAGAAATTCAGGAGTCAGTTATGGAGCCATCTCTATGATCGGCATCTTGTTGGTAGAAATAACATAGGTGTTTCATGTCTCATGCTTTGAACTTTGCTGCAAGGTTAATCTGTAAAGTTGGACCAACAACCATTTTGTTCGCAAGACCCTCATGACCACCTTATACCCACTGTTAACATCACAGGAAGTTTGTTTGTGTGTTGTTTATTCGGTTTAGCAGAAGTTGTTACTGCTGTTGCTTTATTGTTAGTAAATTGCCTAGAATTTATTGTGCATATATTTACCGTGATGCGTGATTGATAAGTTAGTGTGATAATGTTTCAGAAAATAAATCACATGATCTTCTCATTCCCAACAAACTCTCCATGCAGAATTCATATTGTCAGAGTTTCATCACTTTTTAGGTTTTCAGTGTTTCTCTCGACTGCACCGTTATAAATATGTTTTATAAAGCATGTTCCATCATAACAGATATATGTATATAAGCAAATAAAACTGATAGGATTATTAGGAGGTTTGCTGGCATCTTGGATTTATGATGATGTATCAGCTTTTCCCCTGCGGCTACAGAGTTTCTCAATTCGTTGGAGGGACTTCATGAATAGGACATTATGTGCTCTTCAAGTGTGTTTCTCTATAATGTGAATAGGAGACGTGCTCTACCGTACTTAGTGATAGAAGAACTGCTCTGACAAACTTTAATGTTTGCTTCACTACAGTCCTTCACTAAATTGAAGAGCATTTCTCATTCCTTTTCTTTTTTCATTTTAAAGATATTTTTTTGGCATTTTTCACCTTTTTTATTGGTCAGAAAATTAGGGAAGAGATGCAACACAGGTCCCCGTCCAAAATCAAACTGTGGATGTTGCGTTTATGTGGCATGAGCTGTAACCATTCAGCTCCCAAGGCGCTTCATAGTCACCCAACTGTAATGTGTAAATTGAGCTGGCTTTGGCCCCACAGCCTGTATATTGAACCTGTATAATTCACAACCAGTGTGGATTAATATGTCTTCGAAATAAAAGAAATGTTTCTCAGTGTACATGAGTGATAAGGAAACACTTATCATCAATATTTTTTTGCACAAGGCAGAAGATGTTTCTGTGTTTCACCCCAAGTAGTGTCCTAGTTCTGAAAAACTGGGTTCCACTCAGCATAAGACATTTGCATTTCCAGTCTCAGCTGTTCATGTGTCACTGTACTTTGCCTCCACTGCCTCCTCACAGGTACTCTCTAGAAGATGAGCCCTCTAACCTGGATGAGATGCCTCTGATGATGTCGGAGGAAGGCTTTGAGAATGATGAGAGCGACTACCAGACGCTGCCCCGGGCCAGAGTCAACCATAGACACAGAGGCCTCGGGTGGTTTCTCTGCGGAGGGTGGAAAGTCCTCTGTGGCAGGTATTTCTGCAGCACTAGCTTTTTTTTTTTTTTAATGACTTATGTTGGTAATCTGTGCATGACGACTTGAAGAAATGATGCACAAATCAAAGTCTAGTCTTTTGTAGCTGGATCTTTTTGGACAATCAAAAACAAACATTCAAATATTCTCAAGAAAGTTTCTATTTCTGTCGTATTTTTCCCGTCTGCACTGTGTCCTTGGGTATTTTGAATGTAAGATTCAACATAATGTTTTTACTATTATTGTGCCACTTGTATAAGATTTATACTTTGCAACCTTTGCATCTATAAACTATGCATCTTTAACATATGACATGAGTATGAACATATGAATATGAGTATTAGGGCCACACTGGGGGACAAAAAGCTGACATTTTGAGAATAAAGTCATAATTTTACAAGAAAAAAGTCATAATATTATGAGAATAAAGTCACAAGGATAAACATTACAAGAATAAAGTGGTAATTTTAAGATCTGTGTTGTTTTAGAGGGGAAATATCAGAAGCTTCTACTTTAGCAGAGGTTTCACTAATAAGGAGATACTTCATCTTATGGCTCATCAGTGTCAGACTTTTTTTCTTTTAAAAATATGACTTTTTCTTGTAATATTATGACTTTAATGTTGTAATATTATGACTTTTTATTTTTGGTAATATTACAACTTTTTTCTTATTTTAGCTTCAAAAATCACGACTTTATTCTTGACATTTCTCTTCTTCTTGAAAGATTTCTTTTTTTCCCCTCAATGTGGCCCTGATACTCTGTCGTATTAACACAAATCTCAACACTTGAAGGTCACAGGGTGTCAGTTCAAGTGTTACTGTAAAGTTGTGTTAATAACAGTCCAAGGGTGGTTGCCATGTCAGGTATTTTCAGAGAAAAGTGCACATATATACGTGCCGCTTTTAACCTTAAATAAATGACTCTGCTGCACAAAGTCAGCTCAGTTGTTGTACCTTGAACTGCTGTGAACTGAAAGCTGTCTGTGTTTTGTCATGCAGCAGATGTATGTGTAGTGTATAATGTTAGTAAGTATGCTTGTGATGATCAGTTTGGATTTCAAACGCACCGGTAGCTGTGCGTGAAGTGAAAAGAGAGGATAAGGGCATATTTTTGGTCGAGTTCCTTGATGCGCACCATCAGTCCAAAAAGATTTTCAGGTCAAACAGAACGGCTCGGTTTATCCAGCTAATGATTCATGTGACAGGTTTTGCCCTCTAAAGATGCTCCTCTCTGGTTTGTTGATGCCAGAACAATAGTGTGAAAAATGTCACATTTATGAACAAATGTTTGTGCAGCACGTTGGTGCCCAAACAGTAACATTTACTGATGGCGGAATTTCATAGAATATTCTGTTTTTGGTGTGGTGGTGTTGTCAGTGGTGCACCTCCAGTTCAAGCCGCATATTGATCCCTCCCACCCCCCCACCCCACTCCCCCCACTAATGAACAAATCGGATTTTTCACAGCTGACCAGTTTGATGCTTTCCAGTAATTTTATGTGTGCTTAGTGTGGGATTATAAAACACAAATAATTCACACTGAATAAGCCCTGACTGTTCAAATGGCATATTATTTGAATAGCATTCATTTGCTCAAATAATCGCTCTTATGAATCTGGACTCGGAGTGCACACAGACAGGCAGCGTCGAGGCCAATACAAACAAGAGTTTTTACCAAAGTTGATTTATTTAGTTTTATGTTTTGCCAACTTGCTTAAAAAGTGGAAAAGCCAAGTCGATCAGCATGACGGTATACACTGACACTCTCCCCTCGTTTCCTCCCAGGTGCCAGTTTAGGTCATGCTCACATCAGGCTGCCCTCATTGTAATTTACCCCCACACTACACTGCTGTTTGCATTTGATATCAGATATGCTAGATAAGCTTCAATGTAGTCATTAGCAGGTTGATAGAAAGTCAAATACTTTTTAAAAAGTAAATGTCAGTCTGCGATCTATCTCTTCTCTAATCTACAGTTTAGATGATATAACATTATTACATTTTTTTATAGCAAAGGGCGGAGGCTGTCGTGCTAGAAATGTTCAACATGAGGTAAAACTAACAGGGAAACAAGGACACACATGTCTCCTCTTATGTTTGTCTCCATTCATACAGCATGTCCTGCTTCTTAAGGTTTACCAGGGTGAAAGTGTCTGACGCCCGCAGCGTCATGGTCATCATTCCTCCTGCAGAGACACTAACATGTTCACATCAAACAAAGGGCTTCTTTATAAAGTAGTGTCAAAAGACGCCTTTAAGATCTAATTAACACTGACGAGACCAGGGATATAAATAACTGTAGCAGAGCACAGCTGTGCTGCTCAGTGGCCACAATTGATTTAACAGCTGAGAAAATTAATGTGCAATAAGGCTGAGTTGTGAAGTCTTGATATTTGTTGACAGGTTTGTAGTAAGAGGTCAGTATTTTCATATTAGCATAAATGTTACGAATGCGATGAGAACCACCTGGAAAAATCTAGGTTATGATAATGAAAATATAATTTAGTGCAAATTTACTCTGGTATATGTGCTACTTCTATAACCAGAAACATGTTCTGAACCATCCTCACAGTTCGAGGACTCTGTTTACTTTAAATTGTGATGAAGAGTGTGTTGACGAAACAGTATAGTTTCATGTGAACACCAGCTTCAAGCGATCTGCTCCTTTATAAAAAGAATTCTGTGTATTTTTCAGTGGGTTAGAATTTTAAAATATAAGACTTACCTCTATCATCCTTTTTTGTAACATCAACACATTTCATTACTTTAAAATCCGATGTTGTGCCGTATATTTTTTAGTTCCTAGTGTAAAACAGATTATATTCCTCTCAGGTATCTTTACAGGTGTCTGCAGCTGCAAAAGGTAGCTGTCAAATTACAGAATTTGTATGACTCATTCAGTATCTTTCTTTATTTTACGTTACTAGTTTCCTTAGAAGTGATGGTGTAGTTAAGTGGTTGGTCTAAACCACCTAAAACAAAGCAACCTGTTCAGCTAAAGGGTGATCTTTTTATTTATTTTATTTTTTAGAGGCCAGAAGAGGTAAAATGATGCTGTAATTCACAAAAAAATTCTAAATAAATTAACCTTGTCCAGAAGCCTGTTCTGAATGGTGAAGCGTGTGTTGAAGAAACGGTACAATTTTAAATGTGCGACCATGAATGCCATGTAAAAAAAGAGAGAGAGTATTTTTCAGTAAAAGTAGGTAAAAATTTAGATAAAATTTAGTGAAGACGTATCTTCTTTTTTTATTATATCAACAAAACATGTTTCATTACTTGAAAAATGCTTTTTTGTGCAGTGTATTTCTACTTCCATATGCAATTCTTGATGTCTTCCTCTCTCAGCTGCTGCGACTGCCTGGCTCATGTATTTCGGAGAAGGAAGGAGCTGAAGGCCCGGACGGTTTGGCTCGGCTGTCCGGAGAAATGTGAAGAGAAGTTTCCCAAAAACGGCATCAAAAACCAGAAGTACAACATCTTCACCTTTGTGCCTGGGGTGAGTCGGCTTTCAGAGAACAACAAACACTTGTAGCCTGCGTTAAGTCATGTACCAACATTCACATTTTCATAGCAGTAACAGCTTTTGTTGAGTCCATGTTCCCACTCTTATTAACTTTTACAGTCCTTACAGTTCATCGTGTCAGTTAATTACGTTGATTGTTTCACAGGTTAACAGTATGTAAAGCACAGTAGCATCCACTGGATCTAATTGTCAACTATGTAGTCATTAAGTTAAGGGTTTACACTGTAGGCGACATTCAGGATCCATCAGTTTTACTTATTAAAAACCGAGTGGTTCCATGATTAAGAGGCCCACCTTTGGACCAGGCCATAAAATGTCAACTGTCTATTAGAGACGTAGATATTCTCATCGACGTTGAACAGAACGTCTCCATTTTTCTTCCTCCACTTTGAATTATTAAATACACACAAATTGAGTTTAGCAGTGTGCATGTTTCCCTAAAGGTCAGAGGGTTCATTAACTGTCAGGCGTCGTCCATTGATCCCATTGTCTCTGATAATCTGTGACTAGACACTAGACTCTCATTATTGCAAACATTATTCAAAATTTGACCTTAGATGAATACAGTACTAAAGGCTCCCTGTTGATGGATGGCCCATTAGCAAAGAGCCCTCAGTAAGTCACAGGTGGCACTTTGGTGTGTGTGAATTAAGAAACTTGGCCTGTTTTTCTTCTTCTTTCATTATTGTGGTTTTCAGTCCTGTTGGTCTTGTACTTGATGTTTATTCTGCAAAGCGGAGGCACCGACCGACATGGTACCTGCCACATGAAATCCTCACCCTGAATACCACTTGAAACAAAAGTTCTCAAACTGTCAGAGTTTCCATTAGCTTAATGTGAAGTTAACAGCATCAACATGTATCTTATTCCACCACGGATCAGGATGTACAGTAACTCATCCTGCCTGCATCCTCCGTGTCTTCTTTGGCAGCTGTCGTCGTCTTTGACTCACCTTCAGTGACATGTTCACTCACCTCACTGAATCCTTGTCTCCCTCTCAGGTTCTGTACCAGCAGTTCAAGTTCTTTCTCAATCTCTACTTCCTGGTGGTGGCCTGTTCCCAGTTTGTGCCATCACTGAAGATTGGATATTTGTACACGTACTGGGCACCTCTGGTAAATGCACTTCAGTTTTTACTCAGCAGATGATTTTCATGAAAAATATTTCAGATTCTAAGTGCTGCTGGAAGGAAAGAGAGCCATCATTAGAAAAGTGGTTAAAACCAGAGACACCTACTGTGGATGATTGGTTTGACATAGAAGGAATTACATTTTATATTAAAATGTATCAGGACAAATTAATGAAAATATGGGAAAAGATGGATAAGGTGGTACATAACACCTGTTCGTCCATTACTTGTAAAATGTCTTCAATGTCTTGTGCACCCTTTTTTTAGAAAGGGTTTTGAGTATCAGGCAGGTACATCCCAACTTTTTTTTTTGGTTTTCATTATTTGGATTTGTTTTGTTTCTCTGTTTGATATTTTATGTATTAGGTATTTTCTTTTTCTTCTTATTGGATGCCTATAGTTTAATTTACTCCACTGGTCCTAAATTGTTTTCGTATTATCTATTTTGACTTTTCAGTTTCATTATTTTTGTTTGCAAGGTAGTCTCATAGAAGACTTTTAAATGGATCATGAAGTAATACAATAAAAAAAGAATATTAAAACATTTTTTGGTCTTCTCAAAGGATGTCTGCCCTGGATTCTACATTTATAGGTGTTGTTATTGTTTATTATAAAGTGTCTCGTCATTAAAAAAAATCAACCTGCATCAAAAGCCAGTTAGAGTTGATTAGTCGTTTAGCTGATTCAGTATTTTTCATACAAAAAAGGAACATTCTGTGTTTCCATTTTCAAATGTGAGAATTTGTTTTATATCTTTGCAGATTGAATTTCTTTGGGTTTGCGACTGTTGATCAGGCAAAACAAGTAATTTGAAGGCAACACATTGGGCTCCAAGAAATTGTGATGAGCATTTTTTTTTTAAATTTTTTTTTGTCACTTAATGGACTAAACAATTAATCAGAAAATTGAGAAAATAACCAAAATATTAATTGGTATTGGAAATAATTGAAATAAAATGAAATAATTGCCCTAAAACCAATAAATCACCTACATGTTAACACACTTTTCATCCATGGAGACAGTTGAAATTAAACTAAAACTAAACTGTAAAAAAACAAACAATTTGAGCTGCTGTACTAAATATTTTTTCAGTAACTAACTGTGACAGTATTCCTGCTGAAAGTTCAGGATGTTTTCTCTAATGTTGACTAATATTTAATAAAAATTCTGCTGTTCAGTTTACAGAGTCTTGTGTTCAAACGAAACTTTCTAAATGATAATGGTGTGATTGATGTTTGGTTCCTCAGGGGTTTGTGTTAGCCGTCACAGTGGTGCGAGAGGCCGTGGATGAAGTGCGACGTTACCAGCGGGACAAAGAGATGAACTCCCAACTGTACAGCAAGCTCACAGTGAGAGGTGAGTGAGGGGAATCTCCTCAGCTGTTTGCTGACATCTTGATAACGGATATTTCAGAGCATAGTCAAGCTGCTCCCCACTCCACTAGATCTACACTTGTAACTCAAGTCATTCTTCTCGCCGTCATTGCATTGATTTTTTTCTCTCTCCATCTCTTTCGACTGTATGATCTAAGATCTGCCCCTCTGTTGAATGTGTGGTTAAAATCCCCCTGTGTGATATTTGTGACTGTGGCTGAGGATGTAGCTTTCACACCCCTCATGTGTATGTACACAGCAGTAGAAGAAGAAAGAGGAGGGTTGCAGTGGATACTGAGGCAATATAATTGAGAGTGACCCTCTGTGCCATTGTTTTTGTCTGCCTCAGACCAGAGATGAAAACAGAGGGGTATTACATTATCATGCTGGAGGTAATTAATCTGTTAGAAGGTGAGAGAAAAAGAAGAGCAATAGCAAAATGTGGGCTGTGATTTGAAGAGTCAGCGTCATTTTCTAAGGACAGAGATTAACACCTTTATTTAATATCATCGCCATTTAAAAATTCACAGCACATCTTAAAAAATAAAAGTCTAAATAACTTTAAGGTGAAGTTATTGTATGACATTTTTCTTCATCCAACATGTCTTTTTTTCTCAGGTAAAATTCAAGTGAAGAGTTCAGACATACAAGTTGGAGACCTGATCATCGTTGAGAAGGTAAAACCTTCTTCCCTCTTCCTGTAAGAGACAAGTCTTTACATGCAAGGATTTTAAGGGATCAGTTTTAGGCATTAGCCAGAGTTTGCACCCATATATTTATTTATATGTGAATAGCTGGTTATGTGGCTCAAGGTTAAGCTTTATAATAAGAATAGTAATAACATCAGTTTATTAAAGTGGCAATAGACAACCTTCCCTCCTAGTCTTTCCAAGTGGTATTAAAAGAACTGCTGCTCATTTTAGAAAGGTCACCGCCATGAAACATGTTCAGATTATCAAATGGACAATGAGTTGTTGTTTCTGGCTGCTAGTGGTAGTGTTAGCAAAATGGCTACCACTATAAGCCTGGCCAATATCCAATTTTTAGAAACAACCGCAGTTTGAATTAGAAACCCTGATCTCAGTGCTGTTATAATGGCAGAGTAAAACACTCAGATGTATTAATAAGTTAGCAGGTTTTGTTACTGACTGATTTAGTAGAGATAACGCCAACTGAATGTTGGTTTTGAACTTTCTGAAGTCCTGGAGCTCTCTCCATAGTCAGTCTGGACATAGGGACAACTGGGACAAAGCCCAATGGGCCGCCGCATCACTCTAGCAGATAACTCCAGGGCTGAATATCTGTCCCAGTCTGAGCATGGGTCTCTCCATCTGAGGTTGACTCTTTTTTCGGTTTCTGTCACTTTCCCTCTTCACCTTCTTTGTCTCCTCCGGCAACAGGGCTGCTTTTCTTTCACTGAATGGAGTTTCCGCAGTTTCTCCAGTTGTTCCTCCGTCTACCATTTCCACCACCTGACCTAAAAGCTACTGATAGCTACCAGGGACAACAAAACCACTTTTTCTTTTTTGGTTGCACAGTAATAGATACACTTCATTTGTGTCAAAAATCGAGCCTTCGCTTTTCTGTGAAATTTCATTCCTGGTGGCAGAAAGAGTTGCATCGTGTAAGTGAAGCTCATATGGAATCAATCTAAACACAGATGCCGCCATTATACTGTGGCCATTACACTTTGCAATAAACATTAACTTTACAATAAGTTAAAACAGAAAAGTTGTTGTTGTCACTTTGCATAGGACGAAGGGAGTGTAGAATTTATCACCTACATTTTCAAGTCGCCGAGTTGCAGCCAAGTGTCATAAAAAGACAAAATATTTCTAAAGCAGCATGTTTTAATAAATCTGAATGAGGCTCTATTTTTAAACTTAACCTCTGTGCATTACTGGTATTAAAGTGTTGCTGTGACTGCATTCCCCCCATTCTGATGTGAGTTACTCAGCACAAAAATGTGAATGGGTGCAATGCAGAATTTTGTCACTTAGGAGTTACTACTACATTACTTCACAAGCTCCTCGAGTTCATGTAAAGAGTATTTGCCTCTTCCATGTATTATTTTTGCAAATGTTTTCAGCAGAATTTTGCTATTGTCTTGATGTGATTTTATGTCAGTACATGTTCTCCCCACCTCCAGAACAAGAACATTGATTTTGTGGCGTCTTTTTCAGTGGCTATCAGGCTGTTTTAAAGTAGACAGAATAATATAACTGCATTTTAAATGACAGTCCACACTGTTAATCACAGCTACACTGTACATTTTGATCCTATGACCCTTCTATGAAGCTGGGTTTCAGCTCAGCCGACATGAAACCTAACTGCTGAGGCTGGAAAGTGGACAAGTTAAATTTCCATTACTGCGTTAGACAGACTTCTTCAGAAAATCTGATTCTCCTTCACCCTCTGGTCAAGATATTGACCTTGTTTAATTATTCAGGAAGATTCACAGGGCTTTAGCCACAGTGCTCAATAACACTCTGCCATTGACACTTTTTCTTTTTTCTTTTATTTGCTCTCTGTAGAACCAGAGGATTCCTGCAGACATGATATTCCTGAGAACGTCAGAGAAAACTGGTGAGCAGGCAAAGTGTTTGTGTAATTCAGTGTGCAAATGCATTTGAAAATAATTCCAGTAGATGTAATGTTAGTGTAAAAATAACATTTTGTATGTTAAACAGACAGAGTGCTGTACAGGTGAACTTTGAATGCCCTATGTCAGTTAACAAACTGTGTCAAGATCATTTGGGTGAGAAATGTGACTTTTCCCCACACTTCCTGTCCTTTCGGCATCATCTGATCAGGGCAGCCGGTGATTCATATGATTTATGTCACATTGTTCAAGTGACTGATGATGCAAATTCCAATTAATCAATGAGCTGCGTAAGATCCCAGCTCTTTTCTGAGGGGCATCCGGAGGAAATGTTCTGAGGACATCATTTCCATCAATCTTTGATGTGTCAATGTGCTTGGCAGGGAGTTGTTGATGTCTTTATGCCTCTAACACACACACACACACACACACACACACACACACACACACACACATACCTAAACACTCTTTCATACACATACAGCCTCGTACATGTTGTCTTTCTCACACACACGTTTGCACTTGTGTTATTTGAGGAGCTGAAGTGCCACTGCAGCAGAAGGAAAGAATGAATCATCCTCCTTGTGTTAATGTTTTCCATCATAGTTAACCCTCCAGGGACAGTTTATAGCTGCCCTTTAGCCTCTCTGTCAAATAGCTGTTCTCATCCATCAGTTTCATATGTAATATTACCTCAGATCGATGCAGGTCACGACTGCTCAGCGTTTATCGGACCTCGTCGTGTCCACAACAGCCACAGACTCTGTGCTACAGGCTCTGTGTTAATGTACTGCGCTCTTGGTGATGCACCTTGACATATGTCAGTTTATTACAGTGACATAACTGTTCACAATAAATGTGTTCAAATTTAAGCCCTATATTTTATATTTAACTTATTCAACCACACAATCTCCTTCCAAAGACATAAAAAAACCTTAATCTGTTGGCTAAACATTGTTTAAACCTTGAAAATGTGCTTTAAATTCTGTTTTTCAAAGATGCAAATATTTATAACTGAATTTCATTGAAATATTTATGAAATTATGCAAAATCATCAATTGTCTGTGTGAAATAGTGATACAAGTCCTTGATTTAAAGTGAGACAATGAGGTTTTTGAAAGAAGAAATTACAAATGAAAAGTTGAATTCATCGGCAATAAAATGCTGTCTTTGTTAATTCAGTGCGCCCAGGTGTTTTGCTGCTGCAGCCTCAGTCTGGTCTGAGCAGTAGCTTATAGTAGCTATAGTAGTATAGCATGGTATATAGTGGCTTTAGATGGGTATTACTATGGAACTAGCATTACTGAGTCATTTCACAGACTTAATGGATTTTCTTTACTACTTCTACCATTCTACCATGCTGTAAAAAAAACTTAACAACTAAACTAAAGTTGTTGCTGCTCAGCTAAAGTTAGAGGCTCAAGTTTAAGCCATACTTTGTAACTCTGTTTTAAACTGCTAATTAAGTTCTTCTTCTTCTTCTCTGCTGTTGGAAATCTGCTTTATTTCAGTAATGTATATTAATTTAAGGGAAGCATATGGATGCTGGTTTGAAGTGGTTACGCTCGGATGCACCTGAGGGGTTTATTTAAGAATCAGATTTTATGTATTTGCCAAATGGATGTACAGCAATGTACAGAACTGTACGGTGACAGTAATGTCTCACTTTCAGTGTACACGATGTAACAGGAGAATCTTAATATCTTTTCCGTCCTGTTTTCAGGTGCGTGTTTCATCAGAACAGATCAGCTGGACGGAGAAACGGACTGGAAACTGAAAGTTGCTGTTGGCTGCACACAGCGACTTCCAGCAGTGGGGGTATGGATACATTACAGTGTGCTGAATCTCTGATAACAGACAAACCCACTGTGAATGAGTGAATGAGTGTTCTGTTATCACTAAAAGCATTGCTCATTAGATGAAGTTGTCTGCGCTGTGATGGAAACCGAATCACCGATGACAGACAGCAGGAAGAGTCAGGACCTGACAGCAGCTTCCTTTAACTGGAGGCGATACTCAACACTTAAGATTTAACTTGATTTGATTGGGTTTTTTTGTTGCCACTTAATGTGATCAGAGAATTAAAGTTTCAGCAAGTAATTTGATGAAAGAGCCGCAGTATCCAGATCAGGTTTCAAGAAACCCGAAGTTAGCAAGAGTTGGCTTTTCTTTAGTCACTACTTACCTCGTCAACATGTTATCATTCAATTTTATTACGAGTGTTTCAGAGTTTCTCTCTCCCACAGAATTAATTTACTTGAAGATTGTTTTCGCAACAGCAGCATATGACACAGATTATTAGTTTATTCGATTATTATTAATTATGATTATTATTATTATTAGATTAGCCAGAGTCTGCTGAGTGTGAATAATAAAGTACCAGGTCAAAACCAAATTATGTATTGAGTGACATCTGATTTTTGGTGAGGCCAGTTTATTTCTACAGCACCATTCAGACACAAGACAAAGGGCTTTACAGAGGCATGGAAATACTTTAACAATAGAGCATTAAGATGATGTTAAAGACGCATTTAAAAACAATAAAAATGAATTTGAATAAATAAGATAAAAATATTTAAATACATAAGATCAGGTAGGAAACGTGGGACACCATTTTAAAAGGGGTACTGTAGTGATGAAAGACATTAACAACAAGCTAATGCACAAGATTAAAAATATGTTATGTATGTGAGCTGCAGTAAACAGTGGTGTTAACTGAGCTGACAGTTTCAGCAGGTCTCAGGTGATCAGGAAGCTCGTTCCACAGGTGAGGAGCACAGAAACTAAAAGCTGCTTCACCTTGTTTGGTTCTGATTCTGGGAACACTGAGTGAACCTGTCCCAGATCACCTGGGTGTTTCATATCATACATGTAGATCAGAGATGTGTTTGGGCCCAAGGCCATTTTGTGCTTTCTAGATGAGTATTAGAATTTTAAAATCTGTCCTTTGACACACAGGAAGCCAGAGCAGTGATTTCAGGAGCGGTGTGATGTGCTCCACTGTCTGTGTGTTAGTGAGGAGCAGCATTCTGGATGAGCTGTAGCTGTCTGGTTGATTTTTTTTTTTACTATGAAGACACCATTACAATAGTCCAGCCTGCTGCCAGCTGAAAATAAATGCATGAATATGTTTTTCTGTTTCCTGTTTAGATGTTAATCCTTTAATTCTTGCAAATTTTTTTAAATGGTAATAGGCTGATTTTGTAATCGTCTTTATGTGGCTGTTGATTTACTAATTTCTCAATGTCCTGGTAGAAACTTCTACGGATCTCTGCATCAGTTCCACCCAGGAATCTATTTTCCGTTCTCTATATTCCTGTGTCTGCTCTCAACTACTAAAACTGTCAAGTTTGTTTGAGCGTATAAGTTTGAAGGGCTCAAAAGCCCAGCAACACTTACAGTATAAACTTCATCAGGGTGATATATGTTCATCAGCCTCATTGCTGTCTCTTCAGAGTCTCTGAGCCTTTCGCCTGTAAATGCTGGAGCAACGCGACTCTCCATTGGGGTTTCAGTAAAATAATCTTCCCTGCTCCTCTTTAACCGCTCTGCCCATGTTCTCACCAGGAGAACACTATCTGAGCATGAGTGAGGGCCGCCTGCTCGCTGCAGAGCCGCAGCACTGCCTGCCTGAATAATTTAATGTTTACAATCAATTTTGTTCCACTATGGGGGGGGGAAGGCTGGTGTTGGTTGCTTGATGGGTCATCGGCTGCAGCCTTACTGATGGTTTGTTGTGTATTATTGTGTTTTCTTTGAGGTTCTGTTTATTTTTTGTTGATATTTCAAACTGCTTCAACAGTTTAATGTCATTTTCTGTTCTTTTGCTTGATTTATTTTAAAATAAAATGGTACATGGGCCCATTTAGATTCAGATTTTATAAAAACTTGCATGTCTTTTGACAAAAAACCTTCACTGAAGGTCCTGTTACTCGCTTTTTCATGGAAGAATATTTTGAGTTTTGATCGTAAATTGAACTCAGGTTAAGATTATTTCATCAAACTACAATTTCCAAGGTCAGGTACTAATTTTCATGCTCACCTATATTTATATATCTTTGGCCAACACTCATCTGAAGTTACTGCAGCAGCTGAATGAGCATGAATTTATAGACTTCAAACATTGTTAAACACTGTTAAAATGTGAGTTTAATGCCTAGAAGAAAAGAAATCCTGTGTGGTAAAACATGGGCAATTTAGTTGAATGAGACTTTTATTCATCTCCTCTGTCTCTGTCATGTCTCCTTGTCTCAGGACCTCTTCTCCATCAGTGCCTACGTCTACGCCCAGAAGCCTCAGCTGGACATCCACAGTTTCGAGGGGAACTTCACCAGGGTACAACGGCTCGTTGACATATTTATAACCTGTAAAACAAATCTTAAACACATGCAGATTTTTTTCTATAGAGACTGGATTGACATAGAAGATGTCTATCACTACGATGTGGTGACAAGTGGCAACAATGAGAGCTTGTGTGTCCATCCGGAGTCCGTTGTTATCTCTAGTGGGCATGCCTCTTACATCACAGGCAGGTTCTCGCAGCTCCAGCTCCTTCTATCCCGTCTTGCTTGTTGCTCAGTGATTTTTTTTTTTTTTTTTTTTATTAATAGCAGATTAGCGCAGCCCCCACAGAGAGGAGAGCTCCAGTACAAAGGGAGGCTTTGTGGCCCGTCTTCACTCTTGGCCACACACCAGGCTTAGTGAGCGAGCACTTCCTCCGTTCATTCATCCTCCGCGGCCTTCCTTTGCATAGCGTGTGCTTTTAGTCTGAGCAGGATGGGAAAAAAATGGGTTCCCACAGATCCGCAGCAAATGAACTTACCTATGTATGAGGGTTTCTTTTTCCTTTTTTTTTTTTCTGGAGGCGGATATTGTGGCTTTGTTTCTGTGGTCTTCATTGAGACCCTCTGCAGTTATGAACACCGTAGTATGATGCCAATGTCAGAGCGGTCAAGCATTCTGCAAACTGCCATTTATTTTTCATGCACCTCTCCTGACAGGATGTGGCTGCTTAGGTATCATAATTATCATATCAGTGAAAGCCATTTGAGCCGAAACTGGAGCCTTGACCCTGCACTCCTGACTCATGCCATTTTCAGCATTTGTCTTTATTTAAGCAAGTGGGGAAAAACAGGCGGGGGGGGGGGCGGGTGAGAAACAGGAGGCTCCCCAGGGGTTCATTTATCACTGAAATCTCATCTACGTGCACTCTCCATACTGTTTTTAAAAGGAGCCAAATCTAGTCAGAGTATTGATAAAGGGACTACTGTATCGCTACAGTCTGCACAACTGTGTCAGGTGCTTCTGGAAATTAATGGCCCAGCAGAGCCCGGCCATTCTGGTCAGGCTGTGTAGACTGTCTCAGCTCAGCTCACTTCTTTACAGCTAAAATATTTATTTTATATATAAAAAAAGAAATCATTCCCATAGACATTACTATAAATACTGAAAACAAACAAGGTTGAATGAAGCTCAGAATAAAAAAACTTTTTACCATCTTTCTTATATAATAATTAATTAGGGCTTCATAGTTAATGGAAATATAATCCAAATCACAATATGGCCGTCAGTGTTGTGGTGCTACAGAGACGCTCCAGCCAACAAATCATATTCTCCAGATGTAAAGGAACATGTTATTTGGTACAAGACCAACAAAAATCACTTCATTATATTTTTTTATATTTTTTTCAGTGAAAATGAAATGGAAAAAAATGACCATTCCAACTCAAATTGCAATATGAATTTTTTTTTTGCATATTGTGCAGCCCTTTAATTAATGTAAGAGTGCTCAGAATTAAATTCAGTCAAAACGTGAAAAGCTGTAAATTTCTGATTGATAAGATCATTTATTGTGTGACTGCACTGATTTTTGTTATGCTGTCTAACAGCAAAACTCATGACTTCCTGGTTTTGTTTTTCCTATCTGCTCCAGGGCGACACTGAGCAATGGTAATTAGAAGTTGGCTAATTGCAGAAATAAATTCACAATGTTGAGGTTTTTCCTCCAAGCAGATCTCTCTCTGTTGCCACTAGGTAGAATTCATCGTCTACAGTAATAGATAGATTTAGAGACACATTTTCAGTATAAAACAGGGTTTGATGCTAATGCCGCCGAAGTCAAACCAACAGGTAAACTCACTCAAAGCTAAGTTTGTTTGTATTTTATTTTTGCTGTAGGAGGACACAGACCCACAGATCCACGAGAGTCTGAGCATTGAAAACACTCTCTGGGCGAGCACAGTTGTTGCATCTGGTAAGTGAACAACTTTTGGTTTCCAGTAACACTATAGAATGACTGACTGTGTTGATGCATGCTTAATAGAGAGGAATGATGGGTGGTAGGAGTGTATGTAACCTCAATGACCCTGGTTCAAGTCCAGAGAGAGGCCCTTGTTCTATGTCAACCCCATCCAGCGACACAGCAGCGGAAACGTGGATCGGAAGAGATGACATTTAGATTTTTAAATTAGATAAAAAGAAACACAGACTAATTCTGAACTAAATTCTAACTTATTATTTTGTTGAGATTTTAGAAATTTGCTTTAAACTTGTAGAACATTTTAACAGAAACAAAACCAATCCCTGCTCATTATTATTCTTTATGATTTAAGTGATTCTACTTCATCTTGTTCTCAAGTTGTGTTGCACAAAGGATCCATGGCATTGAGCCTTGAAGGTGTTTGATTTGATACTGCCTTGTGCTTGTTTGAAGAACTGAAGAAAAGCCACAGCTGAGGTAATCCTCCCTCGCTTCAACCCAGCAATTCCCCACGGAAACAGTCGTGTCAGTTGAGAGTGTTTGTGACGCTCCCAGTGACGGCCACACCATTGATCTGCGGTGTTGCTCTCCTCTCTGGCCTGACCTTGACCAGAAGAACAAACACACATATATATACACACACACACACACACACACACACACACACACACACACACACACACACACACACACAAAAAGCCTGACTTAGACCCCTTACATCATCTCCGCCTGGGAATGTCATTGTCCCTCACAAGCCTCTTCTTGACAGACACTTCATCGCCTCTACAGTGGCGTTCTGGGCACTTGAACTGGCCCCGGATCCCCGTGTATTCACTCTCTGACGGGCCCTGGTCCAGCTGTGATGAGAGAATTAGTTGCTCACATATTCAAATTGAATCCGCACATCATGCTGAGCCGCACACCATTTGTCAAACCACTCAATATTTAGTTAGAAGTCAGCGAGAGCAATTTATCACCGTTTTCCTCTCGTCCTGTAACAACTGTTTGATTTTTATTGCTCCGCACTGGAGACAGAGCGGGAGCCATATTGTTTTCAGGTTGTCTGTCTCATTCTCATGGACGCAATTCTCAGTAACGCCTTGACAGAACTTCTTCAAATTTGGCACAGACATTCACTAGGACTCGAGGATGAACTAATTACATTTTTGTGGCCAAAGATCAAAGGTCAAAGTCACAGTGTCCTCACAAGACGTGGTTTTGGCCTTGTGAATGCGACATCTCAGTAACGTCTTGAGGGAATTTCTTCAGATTTGGCACATTCTTTGACTCAAGGATGAACTGATTAGATTTTGTTGGTCAAAGGTCAAGATCAGTGACCTCACAAAACATTTTTAGCCATAACTCAAGACTTCACAGCAATTATGACAAAATTTCACACAATTGGTTGATATTTTCTCTGACTCTGGATAAACAGGGATATAACCTGGAACTAGTCTGAATGGAGGAGGCAGACGACCACCAGGAGGTGATTCTAGTTTCTTCCTTTTTCTGTCTGCACTTCACTTCCCTCCCCTCGTATTGTTTTCTGCCCATTTTTAACTTTCTTGCCATTTTTATAGTTTGGGGATTTCAGGGGCAGTATTTAGGTTTATTAGTGCCTTTGCTCTCCCATTAAGCTCATTTAATATTAATGACTCATTAATCCTTTGTAATAAGGCCACCGTAATGAATTGGCAAATAAAGATGGAAGCATATTGATCAGGTTTTATGAGGTTCCATTGGGCGGCTGAAGGCCCTGAGAGTCTAAGCGTATTAAACTCCTGTCTGTCGGCTTGAGTGGCGATGAGACAAAACTGCCTCAGCTCAGCCTTATTGTGTTTCCTCTCATGCAGTTCATCTTACTTGACCAAGATGAGTGTGTCCATGTATATTTGTGTGTGTGTGTGTGTGTGTGTGTGTGTGTGTGTGTGTGTGTGAGTGAGATGGTGGGGGTGAGGTTCAGTTAATGAGCAGCATTAACTTTCTTTGTCTCTCCCCTTGGCAGGCACGGTGATCGGGGTGGTGATCTACACAGGCAAGGAGACCAGAAGCGTCCTGAACACGTCCTACGCCAAGAACAAGGTGAACACGTCTTAGTTTTTGTCTTTCTGCAGAAAAAGTCGGCAACTTCTGGGATTTTTTTTTCTTTCTTTTTTTTCTTCATTTAGTGGATAGTTGAGAACATTTCACCAGTTACAGAGATACAGCCTTGCAGTTACAAAGTAGTATAAGTCAACAGCAAATGAACAGCGTGGCCAAGAATCCTTCATTTCTCAACATCCTTTTTCTTTTTTTTTTTTTTAAACAAAATGTGTTCAATAGAATTTCCCATAACTATTTTACAATCTGAAAAAGGGATGTATTTAAAATTTTGACCCCTGTCTGCATAAATGCTTTGGGAGACAATCCAATAAGTTTTCTAAATTTCAAGAAAAAGAAAAGACTAGAAATATATATATATATATATATATATATATACACATACCAACATACACAAATAGGCGTCCAACCAACAGACAAACAACCAAGGTTCAATTCATTTGTTAACTCCGTCGTACATAGAAACCCATTTTGACCATAACTTAGTAAATGTATTCATTTGAAGGGGAAGTGAAAACGTGTTTTGTTTGTTTGTTTTTTTTTCGTCATGATTTTATACTGTGATCATTTTCATTATTGATTAATCTGCTGATAAAGTTTTCAATCAGTTCATAGTTTGGTTTATAAAGTGTCAGAAAGGTCACAAAAAATTGCTCAAGTTCAAGATGACATCTTCAGATCTGTTGTTTTGAAACACCCAAAGATATTGTTTTGTTTGTCACAAAAGACAAAGAAAAGCAGGAAACCGTCACCGAAGCTGGAACTAGGTCATGTTTCAGATTTATGTTTAAAAAATATAACTGATCAATTACTGAAACAGTTGCTGATAAATTTTCTGTCGATTGAGTAATAGTTTTGTCACTATTTAAATCACAAAACTAACATCACTTTGATAGATTTACCTGGATTTTGGGAGAAAGATTCAGGAACAGTTTTAATAAGAACAGGTCTGAGAGATTAAGATATGTTTCATGAGTTTCCTAAAGCGCTAAATAGTAAAGGCCTGTGAGGTGATTCCAGCATAAACATGAATGTTTTGTAAAAGCTGAAGAGGGTAAAAAAACACACACACACACAAAGTAACATCTGTTCTAAGTTCCCCTCATGCCATCTTTTCTCTCCCTGCCTCTAATCACTAATCAATCACTATGGCAAGGTGGTTTTTTAACCTTGACTTTCTAGATAACGTTAGACCTGTCAATGCTAAAGGTCAGTGCCAGTTGCTAATTAACCAAAAGGGAAATTAACTAACCGAGGATTTAAATGACATTTTCAGCAGAAAGTTAATCCCACAGAATCCCCATCGAGCGTTTTGTCCCCAGATTGAGGAGATTAATGAAAATTTGAATCTAAATATAAGATTTTACCTGGAACATGGCTGGGTTTAGATAGACACGGGCCAGCTGATAGAGGCGGGCATTAGCAGGATCTCAGAGGCTGCTGTGTTTTGGCCACGCAGTGACTTTATCACCTACAGCTGTCTGCACCTCTAACGCTCTATCTGGCACAAGGCGCTCCCTTCCTGCTGCAGCACAGTTTTGACACCAGTGTCTTTTATTAAGAACGCTGATGTGGCCGGTCGAACGGCGGGGGCTGGTGTTTTGTGTAAGCTCGCCAGCTGAGAGGAATTCAATATTTCAAGGAGATGATGTCAGAAGTGCCAATATGGAGACTGGAGATTGCGGGAGAAAGTCGATACAGTGCGGCTAAAGTCGCAGGAACGTTTTGGCCTCATATAATCTGTTGTGACACTGGGCAGGACAATGCCTGTACTTGATCAATCTGACAGGACGTGAGACATAGACTCACTCTTTGTCTCAGGATTGTTTGACAGAGTGAAGAGAGAGAACAATGTCATTTGACAAGCGGCTGCTCTTCAATAAAGATTGTTTGTTTGAAGCACATATCCCAGTCTCAGTCCTCTGCTCTCTTCACATCTCTCACAGTTTTACTCTGGGAAAAAAATGGAAACTTAAAAGTTGTTGACTGAGATCTGAAAAATCAATTTCACTTTAATGTCTCGACTTCCTCGATTTGCTGGTGTCACAATCACTAAACAAAACAAGACTCGCTGACTGAAGAAGGGCTGCTGCGATTAGTCGCCATAATTGACATCAAGATTTTAAATCGATGAATCCTTTCCCGTACATTGATTTATTTGTCGCGGCCAGTCACTATTATCCGCCATATATTTATTTTTTCTGTTTATCATTTATGCTCGCACTGCGTCTCTGTCCTCTGCTTTCTTACTGGGGAAGTAAAGATGACTGAAGATTGCTGGAGTTGAAGACAACTATCACTGAACTTCACGTTACTATAAGTGCAATAAAAAGTAAAAGGCCAATAAGAACTTTATCCAACCACCTGTTCAATAAGCAACAAACAAACTAACAACAAATTTTGTCCGCCGTCTCTCGGTGTCTTTCACACAACAACATGGCGCTAGTTAAGCTAATAGCGAATTGTTAGGAGAAGCTAAAAGGAAAACTGTCTGTATGCAAGTCTAACTGATTATCTTAGTGTGTCAGATTGTTGTAAACTGAGCAGCTGGCTGAGACTAATCCTGTTCTGAATTTATTCTTTTTTAAAAAAAAAAAAAAAAGACCAATAATACTGTTAGCTGTATCAATAAGTGTATGGATAAGATAAAGATAAAATCAGCTGGTTAGTGTCTGACTTTGGGAGGATGAGCACATCACAGTTCAAATCCCTTCGCTAGAAGTCTTGTTTAACCAGTGTAATTTTGTGATTATTATTTTTGATGGCACACGGTAAGCTGAGTCACAAACATGTGAAGGATTACTTCATGTGTAAGTGTGTGTTCAAAGACTCATAAAGTCGTTGCTGCTGCCTGAGAATTTACACTGAATAAGTTTGAGAACATGTTTAGGCCTGAATCTGAGTTTAGTGACCATGTCAGTGTCAGAGTGTCAGAATTAATCGTTTAGATTGAAAAAAAGATGATAGATTAATCGTTAGAAAAATAGTTGTTAGTGGCAGCCCGAGACTGAAGTCCAGATATTCTTTGGTTTTAACTCATGAATATTCATGAGAGGCTGCAATCCTTCATCAGACTTCACACACATGCTAAAATACAAGCCACACAGGCAGATTGAATCATTCCTTTCACTTTTAATGGCTCGGAGATGAATGGAGTAAAATATGCACTTTTATTCATTGATAGCATCTTTAGGTTGAGGTAATTGAGTCCTTTTCTCCCCCCTTGACTGAATGAATAATGACTTCATCTGATCCCCAGCAAGGCCTGGAAAATTTAGACCAGCCATTGTTCGAGCAGAAGGGGATCCTTTGCTTTTCAGGCATGCACTGTGCTCTCCGTCTTAATTTTTCTTCATTTTAATCCACCCAAACCCCCTATTTTTCTCAATAGCTCAACCATGAACCATGTAGTGAGGCGCTGGGGTGGGGAGATGCCACCCTCTCGTTCCCCTAACCCTTCCCTTCCCTGCTCCACACTCTGCTACTGGGAGTTGCTTTAACAGCAACTGATAAATCAGTCACACTGGTCTCCCGGCTCTCCCAGTCCTCAGGGGAATGGGCTTGGTGGGGGTTTTAGGCACTGGAGGAATTTTCCTGCTTTTTATATGTGCTTGCGCCCCTCCCCTCCTTTTCAGAGAAGTTCCTTTTATTTGAGGGAGGAGAGATGTTATGTTCTTGTGTTTTTGTAAGCGTGGTGCGTCAGATGAAAGCCCTCTGTGTACCGGGCTTTGCTGTGAACGCTGCCAGAAAGGGGAAGGGCGCTTCTTTATTTGACATCTTTTTCCCACATGCTCCATTGGCTGGGAGATACACTCGAAAAATAAGACAACTCTGACCCCTTGTTTTTGTCTTTTTTTTTTTCTCAATATGGGAACTCTCTCTGTCTGTGAGGCCTTTTGACGTTCTGTTGCATTCAAGGACAAAACTTCAGCATGACGTGTTCGTAGTTTACCACAAAATAATGCCACCAATAAACTTATTTATGCCGAACACACACAGTTTGCAAGAATGTCTTTCATTGGCTTTGCTTTGGTTTTCTTTTTTTGGTTTTGGGAGCAGATGGGAAAATTACAAAGAGACTTCTAGAAACAAGATGTTTATTCTTAATCTTGAGTTTGTGCTTATTTTTTGTAAGTTTATGAATTGTGTAAGTGCTTTTCAATGGAAACACAGCTGTGGATCAAACATAACACACACCCTACTCAGATTTTACTCAAATTATTTCTACAGTTTACAGTTTACTCTGACCAGGAAATGGGTAGCACACTCATTTTGTAATATCTGCTGGCTTTGACCGCTGACCTTTTGTCCCCAAAGGTCGGCCTTCTGGATCTGGAGCTGAACCGCCTCACCAAGGCCCTGTTCCTGGCCCAGGTGGTTCTTTCTGTTGTCATGGTAGCACTGCAGGGGTTTGTGGGTCCGTGGTTCCGCAACCTTTTCCGATTCATCGTGCTTTTCTCTTACATCATCCCCATCAGGTACTTCACTCTGTGATTCTTGTCGTTCTCTGAAATGGAGCTGCTCTTTGTTCTCACAACCAAAAAGTGAAGCTGGACGCTGATTTTTATTAAATTTTCTTTTCTTTTTTGACCATGTTGTGTCAAAATGGAAAACATTTTAAATGGGAAAAAAAAATTGAAAAAATGAGAATCTACTGTATCAGTTTTGAAAAACCAGTTTTCCATCTGCTTCTTTTTCATCTTTCAACTGTACTCTCTTTGATATGAAAATATAATCTGTCAATTCAGCGTTTGTTGCAGTTTTGTTTCTGTTTTACTGTTTTACTTTATTTTTTCTGTTAAGATTTATGTGTTTTTCCCCACCATGATTAGCTTACGTGTCAATCTGGATATGGGGAAGTCGGCGTACGGCTGGATGATCATGAAAGATGAAAACATCCCCGGCACAGTAGTGAGAACCAGCACCATCCCTGAAGAACTTGGCCGGTTGGTCTACCTGCTGACAGACAAGACAGGTAGGAGATTATAGTCACACAAGATTGTTGGTACTTAAATTAAAGCAAAATTATAATTCACTTAAAAATCATCATCGTACATCAAAGATCTGTCTTGAAATGAGCAGGGTGACAGTATTGTATGTGTGTAATGTAGGTTTTAGGTTTTATGTTCAACAATAATTCTTTTGGAAACTTCTTTTGTCCAGTTTTATGCTTCATCTGCACTGTTGTGTAGCACTCATTCAACCCTTGATCAAAGCAGTATTAGCAAGAATACCAGCTATGAAGCATATTATGTGTGTGACTCAAAAGAGCTACAACATCGTAAGAAGTGAGTGGAACCTGATGTTCCACTGACATAATGTTTTAAAAAAGATGCACATGATAAAACAAAATCATGTAGTAAACCCAATAAAATGCACAACAAATAATCACCACCTGCTGAACAGATGGTGAGTCAGTCACACATCACTGCAGAATACAAAGTTTTATATATAATCACCTCAATATTTTGCCATTTTTATTACGTCTCCCCGGCGGTGAGCCATATTGTTTTCAGGTTGTACGTCTCATTCTCGTGGACACGATATCTCAGTAATGCCTTGACGGAACGTCTTCAGATTTGATACAAACATTCATTAGGACTCATGGATGAACTGATTAGACTTTGGTGATCAAAGGTTAAAGGTCAAGGTCACAGTGACCCCACAGTTTTGGCCTTGTGAACGCAATATCTCCGTAACACCCTGGGGTAATTTCTTCAAATTTGGCCTCACAAAACACTTTTTAACTCAAGACTTCACAGCACTTATGACAAATTTCACAGAAACGGTTCATATTTTCTCTGACTCTGGATAAACAGGGATGTGACCTGGAAGTAGTCTGAGTGGAGAAGGCCGACAACCACCAGGAGGTGACTCTAGTTTAAATTCTAAAACTGTCAACTAAAGTTTCCAAATATCTTAAGAATTTCCAAGTGTTATTTAGTCTTCCATCATCTTCCTTCATTTCACTATCACGGCCTGATTCTCTAATAACAAACGTAAGACAGTGTGTCAGAGTGATAAAAAGGTCCTAACGCGCTTCTTTGTCTCGGCACGCTGATCTAGGTAGGAACAGATTAGCTGTACAGCCAATTTATCCAGGTTGATAGTTAGAGAACACGGAGAGAAGAACAAACAATCAATCCGTTAGAATTGGTTAACCCTGTGGCTCTAATGTTTTTGGAAGTTAGATGTCCTCTAATCAGCTTCACGCTCTATCAGCACACACTCTGACAACAGACATCCATTAAACGAAGCCATTGCCCTCGTTTTCAGTTTGTTTTTTGTTTTTTGTTCTTTTAGTGTCTGAACATTCACTCAGTCTTTTTGTATGCAATGTTGTGTCTTGTCTGTTAATTAGAGAGGACATGCAGTCCATATTGGTAATGAGATTAGGTCAATGAGAAGGCAGTCACACCACCCTGCAGGTCCCATGATGCATTGTAAGCAGTCCTCTGAGGACACATGTGCCGCTTCCTACAGTATGTGTTTGTGTTTATGTGTGTGTGTGTCTGTCTGCTGTCAGAGATAAATTAATACATTTTATTCTGTGCTATGAAGTATTGGCAACATGATTGAGACACAGCTGATGTATTTGTTATTCATAAAGTGTTTGAAAACAAAGATTACATTTAAATGAAGAACTGAACCAGGAAACCCAATGTTATTATTGACTATAAACGCTACGTAAATCCTTGCACATTTTTTCAGCTTTTCTCAGCTAGGCCATCAAATTATCCATGCTGATGTATCGGCTGATATTAGCTTATTATTAGCTTTGTATATGTCCAATGAGACGGAAAAAGAAATTGCAATGTACAAAAATGCCAAACTAGATTTGAGTTACATAGTTTGATCACAAGAGCGCTACAGAAAAATTGGTTTTTCAACTATAAAATGTTCTGCTTAGTATTTATCATGGTCACAGCTCTTTAAAAAACTAGAATCACCTCCTCCTCAACTCAGACTAGTTTCAGGTTACATCCCTGTTTTTCCACAGTCATAAAATATGTACCATTTGTGTGAAATTTTGTCATAATTGCTGTGTGAAGTCTTGAGTACCACAATTGTTGCTTACATTTTGTTCTTATGTCAGAAAAATGACTGTGTAATGATGATGTCATTATTGTATTTTTTTATCAGAACCAGCCTTAAATATCCAGTATTTGCTGGACTTATACTCTAGATGCTTTTGATGTGTCTTAAACATTTGGCCGCAATTACCGTTACACAAGTAAGAGCAGTGATAACGTGAATAACTTGAATCCAACAGTCATGTGTAGGTGATGTATTTTCTTTATGATCTGTTGGTTTGTAAACACCTGGTCTTCTGATCGCAGGCACTCTGACACAGAATGAAATGATCTTCAAGCGGCTTCACCTGGGAACAGTTTCCTATGGCACTGACACCATGGATGAGATACAGAACCACATAGTCCAGTCATATGCACAGGTGAGTTGTCCTGTTACCCAATATACAATGTGATAAATGAAGGCAGGTGTTTCAAAAAAGGTGTTAACAGAAAAAAACCTAAATGTCCCAAAAGAACTTGATTGATTGATTCAAGACTTTAAAACCTGAGACCCTTCAGACCTTGACCATAAACACAACCTCGATCCTGTCAACTGAAATGCTGTCAACAGTCTTTTGTCTATGTGTTTGTGTTAATGAGCAGGTCAAATAAAACCAAAGCTTTACTGTGTGGCAATATACCATCCGCTGTAAGAGAGAAAATATGACAACAAAAGTCTGCATTTCTACATTTCTAAATTTTTAAACATCACATATACATATATATATATATCTTATTATATCTTGTGCCCTTGAACAATCAAATTGAAGAATATTGACTCTTAAAAAGTATCAGAATCAGCCTTTAAATTTTCAGCATGTTATTTGTGCATAATTGTAGAATTCCAACTCCTCGTCTGATCATTAAAACCTCAGGACTTTCTGACGTGACAGTAGGAAAAGGTGTAAATAATAAAATGGATAATGGCTGAGTTTCATTTAGCAGCTTCAGTTTCGGGAACCTGGTATTGTTCATGCTGGCAATTTTGAAGTGGTCCTTTTGTACTTTTTCCTGTCTTTTAACATAAATTCATTTATTCTCATTAGTGATATAAAATATATCTGGTCCAGTCTGTAACACTGGGCAGAATCAAGCAAAGGGAAGCCAACTCGTCACTTTCAGTATGAACATTAGTGTCCTGTGCAGGAGTGGATACGTTGAAATGTACTAAATGTACTAATGTACTATTTTTCACTCCATGGTTTTCCTGCTTATTCCCGCCTCTCCCTGTAGATCAGTTTAATCAATTTTTATATTTAGCTAAGGACAAGTTTTCCAGGAAACAAACCCATATTGTTCATTCATCATGTGGTGTCCCTGAGCGACTCCCTGTACTGTAAGTGAGTGTTTTCCTCGCTGGGTGGCTCAGATCTGGCTGCAGTCTTGACAGAATGATATTGTTCGCTCTCAGCCAGCTCCAAACAGCTGGTCGACACTGAAACCATCTGCCCCACACCCTCATATGTAATCTCAGCTAATGAAAAATGACTAGTCTTTTTAGAGCTGCACAGCCGAAGCAGGGCGGAGCAGCAGCGTCTCTGCTCAGCTGACACGTACTATGCTATAGTTTTCTAAAACTTCTTCATATTTCTTGTTTTATCCAACCAACAGTTGAAAATTCAGAAATATTCAATTTGATATAAAACAGAGAAGATCAGAAAATTCTCACATTAAAGATACAGGAAACAGCAAATGTTTGAAATTTTTCCTTAATATTTTACTTACATAATTGATTATCAAAATTGCTGACAGTTAATTTAATCAGCTGGTCATTCCAGCACAACTATGATCTTTACTTGATTTTTTAGAGCAGAAAAAAAACAAATTCAATGGTGTTGGTGCATCTCATTATCTATATCTATAATAATTTGGCTAAATCATGCAAACGTTTCAGTTTTTACACGTACATGATATTACATTTATTTATTTTCCTTTATTTTACCAGGACTTCCCATTGAGATTTAAAAAAAAAAAAAAAAAAAAAAAAAATCTTTTTCAGAGAGACCTGTCCAAGACAGCAGCCGTACAAACATACCACACCTCAAAATACAGCATAAAACATAAAATACCACATATACGACATGACAGCAATTTGAGCTTCATGTCCTCTCAAGAAAACAAGTACATGTCTCATTTACCACTTTCTTTATGATGCCCCTAAAGTTGCCAATGGATATAAGTGTATCTAATTCTAAGGTCTAAGGTCTTTCTGCTGATTATTCCATGTCCAAGGTGCAGAATAAAAAAATGCAGTTTCCCCCAGATCTGTGAAAAGAGAGTACAGAGGTCAGCTGGAAGTTTACCCAGTATCATTTTGTAGATCTGCATAAGTATGTAAAAAAGTTAGTATGCAATAAGTCTAATAAAACAATTTTCAGTTATTCTTCTTTTACATTGAATTTGTGTGACAGACTGACCTAATGATATCTATAGATCATTCTGTCACTCTTAATTCAGGTTGTCATCTTGTGTCCTCACTGTACTCTCTTGCCTGCTCGGCAGGATTGAAGGTTAATAATAATAATAAGTTTAACCCAGAATGCTTCAGCAGAGCGCATCGCTCCCATCACACTCAGCTGGCACAGTGGGTCGTCTGCTGCTCACTAGTCACCGCACAGTTTAAGTAATGGTTGATGTCAAAACAACGGAACATACAAAAGGCCCTCGAACCAGATATGACATGATAAAGACACCACCTCCTACACCTACACCTACACCACCTCCCCTCGCTGTGTCAGAGTGATGGGCTGCAAGTCTGGGATCAGATCTAGTTGTCTGTCACATGCAGAGATCCTATAGTGCAGGAAATAACTGGAAAGGTCCCAACATTTGAAATAAGTCTGAAGAGGTTATTTTATTTTATTTTATTTTTTTATTTTTTTGCAAGTATGTATTATTGAGCAAAAGGAAGTTATACACAAAGTAAACAGTTGTACCAGTGCTCATTTTCATAGTAAGAAAGGATTATAGAATTATATTAATGTACATTAACAGGTATTAATTCGTTGATATAAAAGTAGGACTGTCCTTAGGATTTGAACATTATCCAAGATAAACAATTGAAAAAGAAAGGGGAAATTAAAAAAACAAAATAAATAATTGAACAAATAATTAAATAATTACACCAAATTAAAATTTTTAAAAATAAATGTGAAAGTGCTCAATAATAAATAAGAGAGAGATTTTGTAATATGATTCAGATGTTAGAAGCATGGATGAGTTTGGTTTGTGAAGCTAAATTTGGTCAAGGTAAGTTTGGTTTGTTGTAGTTTCTCTAGGAACAGATTATGGAAATGTTAGCAATTAATCATCAGTAAAACCGGTGTTTAACTGTACTGTACTGGAGTTTAACTGTACTCCGGTCATACATGCTGTTTTTTAAGTCACAGAGTATTTATAGAGCCCATTGCTCACACTGTTCGTTGCTATTTCAGGTGACTTCCCAGTCTTCCAACAGCAGCGCCAACAGCGCGACTCCATCGAGGAAGACCCAGGCGTCCGGCCCGAAAGTTCGTAAGAGTGTCAGCAGTCGCATCCACGAGGCGGTGAAGGCCATCGCTTTGTGCCACAATGTCACCCCAGTCTACGAGTCGCACGTCAGCGTCAACGGAGAGACGGAGTCCGCTGAGGCCGATCAGGACTTCAGCGACGATAACCGCACCTACCAGGCCTCCAGCCCCGACGAGGTAGATATGTGATATGAGGACATTTTTTTAGCTCTTCCATCTTGAATAGAAAACAGCAGCCAAAAGGAAAATGGACTGATAGACAAATAATTAAAATGAATATCACAATTACTGGCAACTCAGGGTTCAGGGTACTGGGTGGACAGTACGTAGCTCTGGTAGAGTCTTAGCTTGGTGTTGGTGCTGTACTGTGCCGGCTTCCAGACGTTACGTTTTTGGAAGATGTTTTTAGCCTTGCTGAGTCGGCTCTTGATGTAGGAAGCTACTGACAGGAAGATGGAAGTCCTGAACGCCAAATGCAAGACCAAGATTGGATTCTGGAACGTCTGAACCATGTTACTGAATTTACATCTGTAAATATGCTGAATGCAAATTCTGCTCTTGACATGATATCATGACATGTTTCAGATCAGTTTTTGTCAGTCTTCTCTCGTCATCCAGATCTAGTTGTTGTTTTTTAGCCTTTGTGTTTTTCTGTGATGCAATTTTCAGGGAGATTTAATCTAATTTTATTTTTGGTGACAATTTTGTCTTCCAACGATTATGAAAACAAGATAACTGAAACGATTTTTGTGCCTCATTCTGTTTCACATCAAACTTAAATCCCCCCTACAAAAACCATTCCTCCATCCACTTCCTGGTTACGTTTCAGCGTACGTTAGCGAGTTGGTGCAGTGCACTACAACGTATTTGATCTAATTCATTTTGGTCTAATTTATTTTTATTTATTATTTTTATATAGTTTTCAGTAGGTTGTGGAAGTACACAATATAGTTGAGCTTATTTATTTTGATCTAATTTGTTTTTATAAATTTTTATATTATATATTTATTTTTTATTTGTTTTGACCCCCCCTCCCTCCCCCTTACAGTTTCCTCCCTGTTTTAATGTTTTATTGTTGACCCTAAATAACCCTGCTTTGTCAAAATAGTCATTTTAGTCATTTCATGGACAGAGAGTCAGGGGTCATGAGCTCCTTGTAGAGGTTAAGCTATTTAATCGTCTGTATTTGCTTCTTGAGAATTTACTGCTTCAACTGAAGGAAGAATGCAGCAACAAAAATTATCCCCACAGGCGTTTCCATAGCTTCCTCTCTCCTCTGGCCGTTTCTCTGTGTAACCCAAGAGTTAGTGCTTTTATGACTCAGGTCCTCAAGACTTAAAGTGTATTTGTTTCTAATGGTTCTTTAGAATGTATCAAGAAGGAAATCCAAAGATCTAATACTGGGGAAGATTTTGATCATGAAAAGCATTTGTTTAAGAGTGGTTGAATGTATACTGAGGGAGAGTTCATCTTCCCATACACACCCACGTTGAAGACGTTGACATGTTTATCGCCCTCGACATGTGAGGCTTCATAAAGCCTTTGTGAGACCTGCATACTTTGTGTCAAACCCCGGCCAAGTGTAGCAAGTCAAAATGAAGATAAAAAGGTGGTGAAAGATAAATCTCTGTTTTCCATTTTGCCCGTCTGTCCTCCTCCACGACTTGATGTATATATTTATTTATATATCTGCTCTCTCTTCTCTCTCCGTTGTCTCTCGCTGCTCGGATTGATCAATATTTAATTTTCTCTCCGAGACGATGAGGGGTGGAGGTCTGTGATCGTTGGTGGAGCTCTCTCTTCCCCTTCTGCTATATTCTTTGTTCTTTCTCTGTGCTTTTATTTCCCCCTCTCTCTCTCCCCTCATCTCTCGCTCTCTCTCTCTCCTCAGTCTCATCGACTGCTGCAGCAGATCTTGGCCGCCGCTCCTCTGTCAGTGATAGTTTGTTTGGCCCTGGCTCTCTCCTCTGCCTCTCTAATGTAATGAGCTATCATTAAGGAGATGAAGTGCGCCGGCCACTGAGGTCAGGGCAGGGGTCATCTGACAGTAAGGTTGAACAGACTCCTTCTAGAACCTCTGACCCTCATAATATCAGACAAGAGTGTTTGACTGTAGCCTTTAATGACCGCCATGTCCAGGAAAGTGGGTGCTTCATCATTTCCAATTAGCTGTAACTGACAGCCTCAGTGAGGATATCAGACGTATACTGTAGTGTGAGCCATAAGGAAGGATCACACTATCAGCATCATCATTATCAGCTTATGATTGGCCAAATTAACAAAATGGTGCCATGTTTTAATCATTTATATTTAGAGTAATTTCAGTTTCAATAATGGCAGCTTGATATAAACATTTTTTTAAAGATATAATCACATGACATACATATACACAAACATGAAAGTACACGAAACACAAAATAAAGTTGATAATGTTACATTTAGGTTTGAGCACTATTAATATATTGATTAGAGATAATTATAAAAGGGGAATAATGACCTACTATAAATATAACTAGATCTGTGGCTCATCAGTTGTGTTGAATCAGACTCACTTTTGATCTGGAGATGTAGTTTTCAAAATAAAATCTAAGGAGGATTTAAGTTTCACTTTGTTTATCCATAAAACTGTTGATTTACAGTGTTTAAAACATAATTAGCCAGTGCTGGTTTCAGAATATAGGAAATAAATACCGGTAAAAGTAGAAATGACATAAAGCTATATTCCACGATAAAAAACATTTAAAAAGTTTTCATAATGTATTTAAACAGTGTTTTAACCTTTTGTAAGGATAACCTGATTTTCTTCATATTCAAAGATGCCACAGAGGTTTTTGCATGTGCTGCTGTTGTCACCTTCTCTTCCCCCTCCTGTTTATTTTTCTGCTGTAGACAGAAATGATGTGCTTCTACAAATTACTAAACTTGCTGTTGGTCGGTGATGAAAGTGTATGTGTCGTCACAGTGGTCATCTGTGATGCTAACAGCTCTACACTCTACATTCTCATTCCTCATTCAAACGATTTAAACAGTTTTTGTTTGTAAAAAATAAGTCAGTGTGGACTCTTCCAAGAAAATGCTTTTTTTTTTTTAAGTTACCAACAGGCTCACAATGTGGTTCATACTGTTCCAGATATACTGTCACCATTTAGCCCAGTAGAATATAAAGATTATAGATAGCATTACTGCTCCAGAATCTGTTGTAAAACAAAGTTAAACGATTCCAAAATAATTTCAGCTGTTGAGTGTTTTCCTCTTATATTTGAATTTAACTGTTCAGGGTCCATTTTCATCATGACATGCTTCGGCTGCTGTTCATTTTAAAGGCAGCGCTGCCACTGTGATTTACATGCTCAGTAGGATCTTGTGAACACAGTTGAAATGATTGATCGGGTTGTTTGAGCCAGTCGCTGTCGTAAAGTCGTCAGCTGCCGTCTTTTCTATGACTGTCGTAACACGTGATTCATGTGCAGCTTGTATCAGAGTCGACAAAGCTTTAACTAGTTTCAGAGGAGCTGATAAAGTCGATTGAAGAACCAGGTTTAGGATGCTCAGCGCGCACACACACACACACACACACACACACAC